ATAGATTAGAACAGGGACATACATCTTTTCAAAGACATGACTAGAAACCCTGGTTAAATAAGAATTATGTTTCTTACTTCCGTAATATACTATAAACACAGAGCTTTGTTTACACACAACAAGACGCTGCCTCAAATAAAGTTGTGTTATAATATAAATATAATTATACCAAATGTTGACGATTCCATTTCTTTATAGGCCAGTAAAAAGCAGCTCTCGGTGTGGGGGTTGGGGAAGGACTGGAGAAATACCTGCTCCCAAAAGAATTTTAAAATGGGAATGAAGACATGTTAGCTTAATAAAAATGGATATTAGCTGTGTATGTAAAAGAGATCAGTTATTCAAATGGTTCCAAATAACATATGTACCAAGGCTTTTCACATTATCTTTTAATAATGAGGTTATGACTGTTTCCTCTTGTACTATATTGAGAGCATAAAGACCTATATAACCCCTCTATAGAGGCAACTACTGATGAAGCTCACATTCACAGGACCCCCCAATAGAGCCACATCCCTGACAAAGCCCACACACAGGACCACACTAGGGATCAGTACGGAACTGTGAAAAAAAAGTTGACCTGGGCATTATAAAGGCAGAGTCCAATAGGACGAAGTGGGGACAAAGAGGAGGCATGTTATGTCATCACCAATCAATGTAAGCATTCACGTTTGATGTCCCTTTAGGAGAAATGCCCTCCGTGTGTTTTACGCAGCACAAGCAAATTTAATGAGCTGCTTGCTCTTCTTTAACTGTTGGATTGTCTCTGGTGACATCACAAGCAGGACAGCAGAGTCTAAAAGTGGGACACTCCAAGTAATGGGTGTTGTGCATGTGTGGGGAGTCTGTCTGTGGTGTTGTATGTGTTTGAAGGCTGCTTGTGGTATTGTGTGCGTCTGTAGAGGCAGCTGTAGGGACTGTAGTGTTTGTATGTATCTCTAGGGGCTTTAGAGAGAGTTTGTGTGTGTGTCTAGAGGGTGTAGTGCATGTGTTTGCCTTTGGGTCGTAATGTGTCTATAGTGGCTGCAGAGTGTGTGTGCATTTAGAGGCTGTAGTGTGCATGTATGTTTTTAGGGTCTGTAGTGTGTGTGAGAATGTGTATAGAGGCTATACTGTGTGTATGTGTGTATCTAGAAGCTAAAAAACTGGGGATAATTCTAGTTACTTAGGTGTAATACATCTAATACATAGTTCCAATATAATTAAATATAGAGATCTTCAGACAAATTTCAGGAATAACATTGAATTAAAGAAACTTGAATGTGTGGACAAATTTACTGCTTCTATATAATGTAATATTCTATGTTATGAGTGAATACTTTATTTCTGTTTTACTATGTTTTTGTGTAAATGATTTCCTTGCTTCTGCCTTTATATCTTCATATTCTGCTTTTTTTAACCAGTGACCCAGTGATATTGATTGTGCAGCAATTACTGTAAAACACAAGGTGGCATTTAACACAGAAAAGTGTTAATTATTATACCAAACCTATTTGTTATGATTTTTAACTTTGTGAGCAAAACTACAAACTATGATTTGATCTTTGACTAAGTCTGGTTGTTTTATTGCGTCACCAGTGTGTGTTTCAAGGCCAAGTCCTCATCGTTCCTGCTTCGCATCTTTAAATCAAGCTAAGGATCTCCGCGCCAGCGCTCTGCTAATCATTAAAAGACCTGGTGCTATGCTGTGACCTCCATGTGTGACTCACACCCTGTTACACAAACCACATTTTGCAACCAGATTATATGATATCAATTTACAATGGAGAGATTAGGTCACATGAGACGCTGACTCCAAAATATGAACTACTGCCTTTTCAGACTTTGGATCCTGTGAACGATAGTATTGACTGTATTTTTTTTTTTTTTTTTAAATACAGTCAAATCATGCAGCTCAGGCACCAAACCTGTTTATCTTGCTCAGGAGGAAATAGGTTGCTTAATTATATATGATCCATTTAACAGGGAAATCAAGTGCGAAATGCATGGGGGACTTCCAACTATTGTTTGGGTTGGGCTCTATACCCTATTGCCTGTACACGATCGCATATACTGCTTTATATTTTAAAACCTATAGCACGATCAACTAAACCATGGCAAAAATGTAGGATAGAATGTAATTAACTTAGTAAATATAGATTTTACTTCTTAGAATATAGTCTGCATAGAGTCAACGTTTGTAGCACTTAAAAATATTTAACGAATTGTTAACTTGGTTCAAAGACTTTATTTAGTAAACATAACATCTAACTGGGAAACAAAATCTGCCTTAGGAGATATTTTGCATGTTAGTTATCTGAGGCTCACTGTTTAGTGAATAGACCCCAAATTCTATAACGGAACCTTTGGAAGGCAAAATAGAGGGAATTTTTTAGTGAATTATTCATCTGTCCATTCACTCCCGCATCCATCATTAGGATCTGCTATTAAAATGCAAGCCTCTAAGATGTGTTTGTCATGTTAAACAAATCGAACACAAACCCAAATAAGGCGGCCATGATGTGAATGGTTACCTTATTCTGATTGGATAAAAACAATATACACTGAAAGCGATATATTTTGAATATATATTTTGTTTGTTTTGTTTTACTTTTTTGTTTGTTCTAATCCACATTCCCCTTCTTCCAAGATATGTATTCTTCCCCACAGGTTGTTACAAGGAAGAATTGTAAGATATGAACCTAAAAATCGGTATACATTATAGAATTGTTTATTAAATTGCAAAATGGCTTCTTGTTTACCTACATTGTTACCATAGTAGCAATCTGCTAACATTGTGGCAATCTGTGTGATATTATGTAACATCTTAAAGGACCACTATAGTGCCAGGAAAACATACTCGTTTTCCTGGCACTATAGTGCCCCGAGGGTGCCCCCACCCTCAGGGTCCCCCTCCCGCCCGGCTCTGGAAGGGGGAAAGGGGTTAAAACGTACCTTTTTCCAGCGCTGGGCGGAGAGCTCTCCTCCTCCGATCCTCCTTCTCTCCTCCCTGTCGGCTGAAGAGCTGCGCACACATTCAGACGGTCACATAGGAAAGCATTCATAATGCTTTCCTATGGACGCTTGCGTGCTCTTACTGTGAAAATCACAGTGAGAAGCACGCAAGCGCCTCTAGCGGCTGTCAATGAGACAGCCACTAGAGGGAATAGGGGAAGGCTTAACCCATTCATAAACATAGCAGTTTCTCTGAAACTGCTATGTTTATGAAAAAATGGGTTAACCCTAGCTGGACCTGGCACCCAGACCACTTCATTAAGCTGAAGTGGTCTGGGTGCCTAGAGTGGTCCTTTAAGAGGGAGTTCAAAACATCACTGTCATGGCAATCTACCCACCCTTCCGACCCACCCTTCCATCCCTCATTCACCCCACCCCACCAGTCCTGAGAGTTGTGAAAGTGGGAGGTTTAAATCTACAACCAATTATTATGCAACTTTGTGTCTGTATGATAGCCAGACAGGGGGCAGTCATTAGGGATATGATTGGCTGAAACACCAAAGGCACAGGACTGATTTTTAAATTACCCAGTAGTCTTTCTTTTCTGTTGTCTCTCAGTCGCCATTTGTTCAGGATTTGTTGCAGCAATAAAATGCAAGTAATTGTTTATATTAAGACACAAATTTGTTTCAGTTTCTACTCTTACCATAATATTTATTTTCTCACAAATAGTTTGCTCTTTGGCAATGTAACAATCTGAAAGGGACACTACACGTACTGTATTCAGCCTGTCTCTATCTATTTTTGTACAGCCTCTTGCAAAATGTCACCTCCCATTCCATCTGTCCTTGCACGATATCAAACCTTATCTGCAGGCGCCAATAACACACACACAGTAAAACTACAAGTACCTTCATTAATGTAAGAAAATCGAAATTAAACTACGCAAGAAGCCACCCCGGGTCTCCCATCTTTCCTTAATTATGCAGGCCCGACAGATTTTGTGGTTCTCCCTACCATCCGGAGTTTGTTCCCTGTGTGCTGGATCTGGGGGGGTAAATCCCCTTGGCATCCATTTTGGGCACTAAGTATGATGAAATGTAAATCACTAGAACACCCCGCAAGGCACACCAACCCTTATCTGAATTGCATGTCTCCTAAAGTTGGAGGTATGCCACCCAGACTTCTCGAGCAGTTTAATTCATGTTTTTGTTTTAATGAATGAAAGTGCTCACAACAATAAGGACTTCTCTAGGGCTGCACCCTTACCTGCTCATTAGACTCTCACCCAGTCTCCACTCCTTTAAAAAATCATTGAAAATGACTTCTTCAGGATGACATATCAATTAAACTGTTAACAGTGTTCACTCCCTGCTTCTTGATAGCCCACCTTTGCTTCTGCTTGTGCCGTTATATCATCAAAAACATATGAACTCCTCTAGCAACCTACTTTTATTGTCCTACTCTTATCTCTTGTGTCACTATACCCTACTCCATCTCATGTGAGCAGGGCCCTCACCATCCCCTGTTCCTGTGCCCCCAACTCATCTGGTTACAACTACTTGTCTGTTAGTTCACCTATTATATAGCACTGCAGACTTTGTTGGTGCTTTATAAATAATAATATTAATATTATCTGATCTGCATACACCATAACCTCCGTTGCAACCTTAGCCACTTCCTGGTCTATGCAGACCCTGGGGACTTGCAGAAAAATAGTTCAATTTTAAAAATATCCAACTCAACCCATCTGACCTACCGCAGCTCACTCGTTGTATCAACATTTAGGGTAGAATACCAGGAACTAGTATTTTACAGAAAACAAGGTAGATAACTAGAATAGTCTTCCAGTTGATGAGTAGAAGAAAATCACTTAGAACATGATAGCTAAGTAGCATAACTTACCTGCCTTCATGGTTTAGAAAGTGGATGTTTTATGTACTATGTTAACATGACCAGTTTGAGGTTTCACAGCAATTAGTAACATGATCGGCCACTAGTTCCCGATAACGGTTTGTATCTGAGTAAGAATGTAACCAGGGAAGTTGCTGATAAAAAGGCACCAATCAAAGAATTGCACATTTTATTAGGAAATTAAATAAATTATATTTTTACAAAGCTGCAAATGAAAAGACCAATAATTACATTGTTTCTGCAGAAAGGGGGGCACATTGCTTATTATTACTGAGCCACCAGGGCAGTAACATTTAAATTTACATGCAAGGTTCCTCAAATTTGCTTCCTACTGTGTTATTCAATAAAGTAAAAATAGCTGAATTGGAAAAATTCTGGAAATATTGGGAAAACGTTGTGTCAGCTGTGTTTCCAGTTTGGCTCTTGTGGACTTAAATGTGAAATTTACTTTAAAATGACTTTAAATTCTCACTTTAGTGGATAACCCTGCTAGTTTCAGCACAGCTACATTTTTAAAAAATCACATTTTGCAAACAGATATTTATGAATAATAAAATGCATTATCAATAACACTTATCACTTCCCTCCTGAAACCGAAGTCTGAAGTAATGACATGCAACTCCATTATCAAAGTGGTCATATTGGTAAAGAGTGAATAGGAGGAATCAATCTATAGTGCATTGATGTCATAAGAAAACAAAGATGTTAAACAAAATTTCTCCATATCCCGTTTCATATATTGCAGTAATTTTCATTGTCACTGCCACGGCAAACCAGAAAATAATGTATTATATTTACAACACGAAAGGTTATTTATACTGCTTATAAATAAGTTCCACATTTCAGTATACAGAGGATCTAACATTCTATTTTCATTTGAAGTTTTTTGTCACACATTATGAGAGTGGTAGTCTGCAAAAGTTGGAGAACCAAAGTGTGTCAGTCCCTATAGACTAGAGGTTCTTAACCTTTTTTATTTTTCAGCAGGAATTTTAATTTGTACACGTATTAGCTCAAAGTCCAATTGTTCAATTATAACACTAACTCAGTGACCCATTATTCAATTATAACATAATATATATGAAAAAAAAATTGGACAAAAATGGGTCACACTTTCCCCCAGTGTAAGTCAGGTTTTCTATTCCCCCTTGAAAAGGCAGCGCCGTCTTAGTCATTTATACAATGAAGGTAGCTTCCATAGACTTGTCTGTACCAATCGATGGAGACCCACAAAAAAAATAACACAGGGTCTCAATTGTGGATTAAAACCCAAGGGTTATTGGAACATTCCATGCACCATAACCACTACAGAGCAATTGGCTAAGGAAACCACTGTGATATTCTTAATAAATTCATATTTCAGGGTTGTAATCAGTACCATAGGAACAGTAGTGTTTTCTATAAACGCAGTCCTGTTGCATACGTTTTTTCTATAAGTCATGTTTACAATCCTGTTCAAGGCACAGAAGGCTTGCATTGCTGAGTCACAGCGAGGTGGCACAAGATGAAATATGTCAGATGATCTGGGTGCGTCTAACGTCCTCACGTCCCCATTAAACCTCCAGCTGCAGACCTTTAGACAGCGCCATTCTGTAACTAGTTTAAAGCAGAAAATTTTTACACCAACACTCCTGCTTTAATCAGAGAGATGTCGTATGTAAAAAAAAACAAAAAACAGAAGCATCGATACAATTGGGAACAAGCAAAACAGTGCAAACATCCTCCCTCCTCTTTCTAAAACAAATAAAAATGTCTGTAAATGGTTATGTGTCCCCACTGCTTGCAGAGAAAGAACGAAAATCGAAATAGCTATTCTAGGACACTGTGTGCATCAGAGGTGGCGAGTTCCTTAATTTGGGTTACCAAAAATTCCCTATTTTCCTTCGCAATGTTTTTCGGTTTAATTTTTGAAAATACAAAAATGACACTGCAATACAGTGAATCCACATGATTTGGGAATTAAATCTTGATTAAATAATTTGTTTACTACCTGAGCAGTTGCATGCACTGCATGGAAGCACTTTTCTTTTGCTGTTTATTAACATGACAGAAAAATGTGTCCAAGAAAGTAAGGTGGATGTGGCAACCCTTGCTCCAATTTTCCATCCTACTAATGCCATCATGGTAATCAGGGATTAATCTGGGACATTTAGGACAGCTTTGTACATGCACTATATGTGCCAGTCTTGATACCATGTAATCCACAGATTTTAATGAAAAAAATAATAATCTGACTTTTCATCAACAATATACCAATATTCAATAAATAACATAAATAATATACATATATAATTAGTAAACATTTGCATTCTTCATGTTAATAACTCACAAGTTCATATTCACTAAACTTTGATGTGGGTTGCCCCTTTGTGATTATCAGAGTTTGCAACAACAAACGTACCAAAGAGTGGCCTTTAATTACTGTGGTCCTTGCGGGCTATGGTGGGCTCACCATCTGTATGTCCTTAGTACAGAACCACGTGAGAGACTCCCACTGTATCCAGACTAATATTTATCCTCAGATGGTATAAAAAGCTTCTTTTTTTTTTTGTCTTTAATTTGGAATTTGTTCTAATTTTTCCACCTATGGCTCCATTTGCAGATTGTTTTGTCACAAATTAACCACATTCACAATGGAATAGCTGTGTAGTGTTCTCGACAAGTGTTCTCGACAAGTGCCCAATAAAGCCATGAGCCGTTACCTTTAGTCATACTTTGTTGCTGCAGAGTAATAAGAGATAAAAGTCTTTATCTTTGGAGCCATAATTTTCAACTCCGTCCAGCAGAGTAGTAAGCTTTGATTTACTTTTCCGCATAGCATTGAGCTTCACTTCTCTTCAGTGTGCCATTATTTTGACGTGTAGAACATTTGGTATTCACTCAGTACTTCATATTACCTTTCTTTCCATTTTTTAACATACAAAGGGGGTCATTTATAATGAGAAACTGAAGTGCTTAATTCTGAAAGTTGATCAATCACCGTGAAAACCTACTGAATGCTCCACTTTCAGAACTTTGCCATAATTCATCCATTGTAAATAACCTTCAAATACTTAATTGAGGCCTGTGTTGCACTTAACCCTGAGTATGTCTTTGGGGCATTAACCCGTTATTTTGTTTAGTGATGCTCTTAGCCTTCAATCTGTTATCCAAGGCACTGACACTTTGTTTTGGTCTGTGGTGCACTTATTTTCAATTTGTTCTTTAAGGCACTGTCACTTTTTTGGGGGGTGGAGGTGCACTCAGCTCTCAACCTCTCCTTTGGAACAACAATCCTTCATTTTGTTTTGCATTGGTTTTGTTGTCCATTGTGATGTACAAAGCATTAGGCCTTTGAATTCTCATGGAGAAGGCTCAAATACATCATCGAACGTGGTCTCGCTGTATAATGGTGGTGGGGTCAGTGGCTCTGGCCATTTCTGTCCATAGATCACACTAAAATTCTTGATCTCATGGATGTCGGAGCTAATGCGTAGCAAGGTTGGAGGATGCAGTCTTACCCCTCCTATGCCATGCGGCACAGCACTGTATGGAGGAGGTTCTGCCTCTGTCCCTGGACCAAGGGTCACTGTCCACACTGTGGAAGATCCGTGGACAATAACTTCTTCATAAGGTGGAGCATCGAACTGTCTAGGATCTCTGTGTGATGGGGAGAGAAGAATATAAGCATTAACACAACATGAAATAATAATGACTGTACTTTCTTCATCCCATTAGCCCAAAATTCATCATGGTTGATACTTTATATTGTATAACTGACTTTATTTTCCTTTTGTTTTACACTGTGCTTTTGGCTTTGGGCTAGAGCATAATGCTGCTGTGATATAGTGTCAGTAACAGAAAACAGAAAATAAAATGCTTGCCCCCAGCTGTTTCAATGTTGCATTATAACAGGTAACAACCTACGCAATTAAATAATAGTTTGAAAAAGAATCAGGATACCAAAACTATGAACTTTAGAAAAAGCAAAAAATAAAATTTACGAAGGTCAAATATATGCCACAGGAATAATGCCAATATCAGAGCTGTAATCAACCCCATACACGAAAAGTTTGTCAGGTCAAACGTGGACAAGATAGCATGTGTCAACCTCGATTGAAGGGTAATGAATAAAATCAGTTTGATATTCATTGAATATACATATCATTGGAATACAGGGGGATGCGTTTTGGACCCCGTAGAACACTCAGAAACTCTGAGTCTCAAATTGTCTTTGTGCTTTTCTTGTGGTAGAATGTTTTTTCTGACTTTTTAGGCTTTCTAATGCCTTAGTCAAGGTGGTTTTAACCTTGTTATGAATAAAGTCCTACAGCTTTTATGTACAGAAAGTATTCTAAATTATCTTCCTTGCCCTGGACCTATTGTTTCAGTGTTCACCGGTTCTTAAAATCCCTGAAGGGTGCAAAGGGAGCATCGGTGTAAAAGGTTTTTATTGGGTATAAAAAGAAATTACGGCAAAGACACATGTGCCTCCTCATCACCTACAAACACTGCTGTTTCATTGTCTGTAAAGGTTTAGCAAAAATCACAAATGCTGTATTTTGTCTTAATAAGAGGGGTCTACAGAGAAAAACTAACCAGTAAATAGAGGAAAGGCAGTGGTTTAGAGTGATGAAAGGACAGAAAGAGGTTTTTATGTCACACTTTACTTGGGCTTACATTTCAGTCTGTGCCTGCGCTCTGTTCCGTGTCTCAATTTCTGTTTGTCGTTCACTATCTTCAGATCGTGCAGGCTTTCTCAAACAGTGCGAAAAGGTTATCAGAAGGTAACCGAGAACAAGGAGACTACCAACACCCATGAAACAGACTCCAAGTATGAACACTCGATCAGAGACTGACAGCATGACCACGCCGATCAGCAAGAGGATCATTCCAAGCGTTAACGTCACACGATGGACACCCTTCTTCACATTTGTAGATGCCATGGTGGAGGGCGAGGAAAGACAGCTGAAAAGAAAGAGAAAATAGTTTAGAATCTTAAAGAGACCTCACACACAAAAATAAGGTAATATTTTTTTAAACATATTGTTGCAATTTTTTTTATGTGCTGCCCTTTGTTGCTGTTGCCTTTTATTGTACAGCAACACAAAGAAATGAAGTCATATGCCACAATTTTTTTCTTTTCATTTTTTACGTGCTTGTAAAAGCACATTTACTCTAAAATATATAAAACTCTAAAGTTTTATTAAGTAGTAATATTTGTCTTTTTTAATTGATAGAAATGCCAAATGTGCATGTAAGCAGTTTTTGCATTGCTCACACATTCTCAGTTTGAAATCAATGGAAGGCCAAAGATTGGACAAGAGACATCATGCAGTGCTTGGTTTTAGTTGTCGCCAGCTGTCAATCATTACTACACGATAAGATCATTTGGAAATTTGCAAAAGAAGAAAATATATTATTATTGTATTAATACATTCCATTTAATATTTTATTAGAACACAGCTGGTAAAGCCACCCTTTAGTGGCCCTTTCAACATTTAACGGGATGGGTGAGATATGCCCTCAATTAACGTACAATGAGTTTCGTAGGATGTTCACTAAAAATGTGTAATATGTCAATTCAACATAATTCCTAGTTCAATAGGTAAACAGTAATGTACGGCCAGTCAGGACTGGGCTCAGTCATCATCAGCATTGTCCCAAGCTAGTGTAGAAATGTCTCCATTGTGGCCACCAGCCCAGTGACTACTGAGTCTTCAGGCTGCATCCCCTATGGACAGACTGTGCCTGGGAGATGTGACTGTATGAATTAATGGAATGACAACCTCATCTCTCTTTCATTTTGTGAGTCACATCTTCTGTATAGATTGACATAAGTCATACCGAGGGTATCCTGATCTGTTCTTTTATCTGAACGGCATTCATTTTTTTTTTTTGCGTTTCTCTGAAATTCCCCTAACACCCTTTTTTTAGGGAAGTTATGTACATATGCACTCTCATTTACATAAGTACACATACGCTCAAATTCATATACATACACACAAACATTCATACGCACACATGCCCACGTTCATAATTATTATGTCATATTATATAACATTAATATCACATTATGCAATAATAATATCGTATTATGTATGTATTTTGCATTACACAGACAGGATCATTTTCCTGCCTGATAAGTAATAACCAATAAGGGGAAAAACAGTAGGAGCATTAAAAAAATAAAATAAATCTATATTTATCTTTGTATTTAATATAAAAACATAGATTTGTTTTACTGCTACTCCTGTATTTTAATCCTGTGCTTGATCCCGGGGCACAGGGGTGTTTCTCAAGTCTAATTAAAGAATACATAAATATACACCTCCTATACACATCTTATTTCCGATAACACACCTACACATACAATTTACATACACACACACACACACGTACACACAATTTAACTCCATTGTTCTCTTCTCACCTGATCTGTCAAACAAATCAACATTTAGTGACTGCCACCTTAGTCACCAGTCATATTTTTTCCCCATCAATCATCTCTATTTTTGGTGCCAAGGGCAGAGTTCAGAATATTGACCCACCTCGCCCCATCCCCTCCACTCCCCAACATGGTTGGCATTATACATTTTGGATAGTCTGTAATACAGGTATACATTTGAATTACCTGAATTACAGACTTAAATTAAATTTGACTGAATTGCAGTTCTGTCTGAAACTAATCTCCAAATCTAATATTCACATACTCTCACATTCATACGCATACACACACTTTATTTTTATTTGGATATTTGGCCCTGGGGTGCAGTAGGAGCTGCTGGGTCAGTTTGTGCACAGCCCCCTGCAGCTCTGTCCTCCTGCCAGTGATGGAGTAAAGTTACATCCCAGCAACCACTGGCATCAGTTCAGATGGCAAGGGAGCTGTACAGTGAGAGTACGGGCTGACCTCAGCAGCTCCCTCGCTGCCCATAAACTCAGCTCAACTAAATCTGCAGAGCAGGCTCTTACCATGCAGCAACCACCACCTGTAGACAGGTGCCACCTGTGGCAACGCCTGTTAGCTGTGGCAAACCACCTCCCAGCTGGCATGCTGGTTCCAGAATATCCCTTCTGATGCCAGTGATACGGCACATGATTAGGGAGGATACCATTTGTAAATAATATGAAGACATCAGTATTCTTTAATTAGCACTGGGATAACACCCTGGTGCCCTGGGGAGTCCTCGCTGTGATAACCTGTTTATTAAGTTAGCTGCCATCACAGACCATAATGCCAGTGAAGAACACTAGAAAGGCTCTGCGTAATTAACCCTTTGTGGTGTATCCACAAAATTGGGAGTGATGGAGAAATTGCACAAGACTTGCACAGGTTTCTCCAACTAATTTTCAGTTCAGGTATTTTGGCTTTAAAGGGTTTCACTAACCTTACCTTTTTATTTTATTTATTTTTATTTAAATGTTATTTTAAAATGAGTATTGCTAGCTAGGTCCCCCCTTTTAAAACCTGAAAAAGAAAGGCAAAAACCCAAATTTCCAGCACCGAACAAAGCTCCTGATGCTGCTCTCTCCGGTTCAATCTTTTGTCGTCAAGGGACTCGGAAGGGTCTACTCAAATTTGATTGGACTAATTCACTGGCTCAGACTCCATGCGTCTATCTCTGTATGTAAGCAGAACCGCTGCACATACAGACTCTTACCACCATGCCCTCTTCAAATCACTGAAGTGGTCACAGTGTTTGAGCAACCCTTTAAATCTGCAATACCCTGTTCAGTTCTACACTAATCCCAGTTTACTGAATAGACGATATATATCTTATTACCATATACGGGAACTTTCTCCAGAATCCTCAGTTTAGTGAATAGACGATATATATCTTATTACCATATACGGGAACTTTCTCCAGAATCCTCAGTTTAGTGAATAGACAATATATATCTTATTACCATATAAGGGAACTTTCTCCAGAATCCTCAGTTTAGTGAATAGACAATATATATCTTATTACCATCTAAGGGAACTTTCTCCAGAATCCTCAGTTTAGTGAATATACGATATATATCTTATTACCATATAAGGAAAGTGATATTCTAAAAAAAATGTGAAAGGTTGTTGACACTGCAGTAATAACTAAATATGTTTCTATTTCAGCTTCAATCTGCCCTAAACCAGACCCAAGAATGACGGCGGAAGGGCTGTACACATTGTAGCAGTATTCATGGATTTATTTGGGGGGTGGTAATAAAATAACATATTTTCTTCCTGCCCAACCTCTGCTCCATTCTCAGTATACCGTACACCAGTACCCCTATCCACACCTTGTCCTGTGCACTCCAAACATTACCCCTCATCTTATACCTCCATCAATCTGTACACCTACACACAGTTTAATACTTGTAATCCCTTCACTTAAAATGTAAACATAAAACACATATTTTATATCCTCACACTTTACCCAATACATGTAATATACTCCCTATGCCCACAAACAATTACACACACAAATATAAACAAACACCCCCTACACACATCTTATTTCCCTTGCCACACCTACAAATAAATGTACACACACACGCGCGCGTGCGCGCGCGCACACACATTTTACGTATTTAGAGACACATGTTGCATCTGACATGTACACTTTAGTCACACACTTTCAATATCAGTAAACATGTCACACAATTGCGAACATACACACACACTATAATTTATATAAAGACCTTCACCCGATTGAAGCTATAGAGCTGAGCTATGCATTTTGTTAATTAAGCATTACTGGCAAAGAATATCTGCTTTTACTCGGGTGTAGTTCTGATACTCAAACCTTAGAATTCACAAGAATAAATAAAATATACCAGTGGCACTTTAGGAATAACTGTCCAAATCTTCCGTTCCCTCATCTTCAGCTTGTCAATCCAAAATTAGAGTAACTCTGAGAGCAGCACCACATCTGTACTGGAGCATTAACACAATAGGGCTTATTCTCTAAAGTGAGAATTCAAAGTGAATTTAAAAAGTCAAAATCGCTGAACTGGGAAAGATCTCTAAGTCATCTACGTCTTGAGTTTGGCTACTGCGACCTTAAATTTGAAAGTCACTTCTGACTTCTCACTTCTTTCTTCCACCAAAACTACTGAAAGGAGGGCACTTAATTAAACAGTGCTGCTGGTATGTTTTTGTGGTATATTGGCTCATATTGATGCCATGTGTTAAAGTTTCCGATATTTCAAATTACAATTGCATCCTTATATTAGCGAAAACCTGCTTATAATAAATATTTTAAATGATGAGAATTGTTAAACGGTAAATCCGTCATCCACTAAACGCAGATTTGCAAGTCTAGTCCAAAATAAGAGGATCTGAACTAAATTCTTCACGCTAACTTTTATTCTATATTGACTATTTTTCCACAAAATGTATAGTGACCTAAACCTTTGCAGTTCAGTGAATTAGTCTCATAATGACGGAATGATAAATGATACAATTTAATATATAAAGTTACTTTGCGCTTTGACACATCTAGATTACAGAGCAATTAGCCAAATTCCTTTAAAATTTGGAATTCACTTTGAATTTACTTTGAATTCCCAACATATCCCACTTTATTGAATAACCCTGTCAGTACTGTTTGCACGACATTCCTCAGCCGTCTGCTCACTCACCCACTGCAGGCAGTCTCTTGTCACTCGGTCTCTGGATGCTGTAGGTTCCCCTTGTCAATATCCAGCAATTCCCACTATTCAGATATGTGCGCTTTGTCAGGAAACGTTCATCTTCTTCGCCTGTGATTGATATCGCTGCCTTATCCCGAATCAACTAATGGCACTTCCTAGTTTCCTTGTATAACACTGGCTTTGATGCTCTCTCTTTCCTGTCTGTGTTAATTATTACACATTATATATAGAAAGCGACAATGCCCTAAAATGTCACTAACCCCAGGAAAGTTCCAGTACTATTCCCTCAGTCTGGCTGGGATGCAAAGTGACTCACCTTGGCTGCCTCTGCCTCAAGTGGCATTGTCCCTCAATCCATCTCCTTTTTTTCACTTATTGTATCTGTCTCTTTCACTCGTTTGTCCCCTTTTTATCTCTGTCTGTCTTTTATTCTCCCTCTGTCTTTTGCTCTGTTCTCCTGTCTGTCTCTGTTTCTTTCTTTCAAAGTTTTACTCTCTCTTTTTATTTTGTTCTCTGTTGCTCTCTCTCTCTCTCTCTTTGACTTTCCTGTTTCGGTTCTGACTGTCTCTTGTTCTGCTCCTTTGTCTGCCTGTCACTCTCACTCAGTTTCACGTTTTCTCTCTCTGTCTCACAGCTAGCAGTCTATTCCCTGCAACCTTGTACCTGTGGAATCAGGAAGTTGAACTATGTAACAGGTGATGACAGTCACTCCCTCATTTATGATAAATGTCTGTCCATTTCCAAGGTAGAGTAACAACAGGGACATAGTATTGCCACATCTCATTAAAATCCAGGAAGCTGTTAGTAAAAGCAGTGTTCAGTCTACACTTTATGTTATCTAGTTTTGAGATATGCATTCATACAGGTCCTGATTAGCATTGCACTAGACATAGAGGTGGATTATTACTCCTCTCACAAAGCTAAAGGACACTGCGCAGGCCACAAAGAGCTGACATACACCACCTCCATTTTAAGTAAGATGGCGCTCTTCACAGGTCATGCTGAGATCAGGAATACAATATTATTATTATTATCGCCATTTATATAGCGCCAACAGATTCCGTAGCGCTTTACAATATTATGAGAGGGGGGATTTAACTATAAATAGGGCAATTACAAGAAAACTTACAGGAGCAAGAGGTTAAAGAGGGCCCTGGCCTGGTTAAACAGGCTTACAGTCTATACCTCTAAGTTACCTAAGAGGGTGCTATAGACGGGCCATGAAGAGATCAGGCATGCACTACCTCCAACGTACCTAAGAGGGTGCTATACACAGGCCATGCACATATTGGAAATGCACCCCCTCTAACTTACCTAAGATGGGCTGATCATGTCCCTTGAGTGATATAAACATTATTAAACAAGTTTTTAACAAGTTTTTTTGTACTTTCACAATCAATCCAATGGGGGGTATCATTTATGGATTTGGTTCTAAAGGGAAACAGTTATAAGCAGGACAGATCTATTTGCACAAAACCATAAACTATCAGAATCCAAGACAATGACATAATTAATAATAAATGAGCAGATAATTATATCACCTAAATATAAGGGTGGCATCTGGTCACAATTGATAATGCAGACAATTTTGCCGGGTTTCAGAAACCATTCCAAGGTAACAGCTCATAAAAATGTATTTATGTTAATTGTACAAAGGACATTCAGACTCTTGTTAGGAAGTTGAAGCATAAGGCCATTGGGAGACATATCATCTATCTGGAATTCTAGAATATCTGGGCACAGAAAATTCTATAACACAACTGATATACATACTCACAAACTCCCACAGATCATCTCACGAGATGTCCCCATAGCTACCGGAATTTATTCTCTCTGTGTTCACACTCTTTTTGCATCAGGTATTAAATGCTTCTCTCCAGGTAAAAGGAAAATTTAAGGAACATATGATGTCAAGTCGGGAAACAAGAAATGGTGGGTAACCAAACCAATAGCAAATGAAAAACAAAACCAACCTTACTGTAATAAAATAAAAACAAGTTACAAGATCAATTAAAATACACCAAAAAGAAATAATGAACAACACACAGCTAAACTGTCAGGAATACAAACATGTATAGTGTAGGTGTCCGGTTCCCCTTGCTCCCCCCATTAAGAAGGTGTTTTTACACAACTTCTTCCTTGCGCTGAGCTGGTCTCGTTACAGCTGGCCCTGCCCCATTCGTTCTCCTTGGCGGAGATCATCCCCTTTGGAAAGAAGTGTAAGGCCATTGCCCATGCGCAGCAAAATGCAGCACTGTGCCAATCAGCATCTTCTCGTAGAGATGCATTGAATCAATTCATCTCCATGAGGAACGTTTAGCTCCTCCCTGCAGAGCGTGGAGACGCTGAACGTCAGTGCCACACTGTGCAACACTGGGCTAGGAAGCACCTCTAGTGACCGTCTGAGTGACTGCACCTAGATGTGTTACTAGGCAGTAATGTTAACACGGCCTTTTCTCTGAAAAGGCATTGTTCACATTGCTGATACTGCAGGGACAAGCTATAGATACCAGAACAACTATGTTAAACTTTAGTTGTTCTGGTGACTATAGTGTCCCTTTAAAATACTATAGTCAGCTACCAGGGACTCAGACGTAATTTACATAGGTAAACAGAATATGGAGGAAAATGTGTCTATAAATAGACAGTGGTGTGACGTATTATAACCTCGATTTATAGACAGTCATTAATTTGTATTACCGATTATTGTGGTATTTTTGCATTTTAGTATATATTTTTATTTTTTGTGGTTGTTTCATATATATCAGAAATAAAGAAAAGAAGAATAGATTCTGAGAGAGGAAGAAAAGAGGAAACAATAGGAGAAAGGTATATTTTGCATGACAGTGCTGCTTTAACACTGTTCAGAATTTAACTCACTCTTCTACTTATCCTCCCAACACCTGGGGGCTGACTAGAGACCCAGATGATTTATAAAATCAGTACTACCCCTGTTAGTTACTTTGTCTATGTTCATGTATAAAAAGATACTGTATTTAACTAACTCTGGTGTGTAGATTGCTACATGATATCCTTACAATATACCACACTCATTGTTTCCTATTTACTATATGGCTTTTTAGTGTTGTTAATTGTTACCATATATATTTAGCAGTATGTTTTGCCACTACTTTAGTCTGACTTGTATATACTTGGTATGTTTGGTACATATTTGGAGTTTAACTTTAGGTTTACACAATTGGAAGTCACTTCAACCAATTTCTTTTTTTTCTTCTTTTGGATCAACAGCAGAAACTATGTGAGAAACGCTGAACTTTATCCAACTGGTTTTTCAACCTACGTAACTGCAATTATGTGACTATGAATAAACCCATGATGTCATGACTGTTTGTGAATTCGGGACAGTCCAGGATCAAATGACTCTTAGTGTATAGTTAACACTCTGTTTATTCAATATATAAACTATTATATGCTATGCACACAGTTGTGAGTTGGCTAACACACATTGATACATTACAGCTTGTACGATTCCAAACATGCAAAATAAATTAGTTGCATCATTGCTCTGTCTAATGTGTTTAAACTTTGCACTTTGTTCATAACACAGTTTCTGATATTCGATCACACATTTATAGATTGCAAGCTTGTTTGAGCAAGACCCTCTCCATTACTGGTTAACTTTAATGAGCAGGTCATTAGTGTGCTTGATTTTTATACTGTGGCACTATTGCATAATGTCGATGTTTGAAGAAGGATTGTATTCTGAGGTATTAGGGAATTGTGGTATTAAGTACAGACTGGAAAGCGTACACTAAAAGGACATTTCCTAAATAGTATTTTTTATAAATTATTGCTGCATTTCTGTTCAGAGGCAAACTGAGTTTCATTGCCCTTGTATGCACACGGTAGAGTGACAATAAAGTTGAATCTGAATTTATTTTAGTACAGCTCTGTGAAACATTCTGCCACTATACCCTCCAAATAACACCATTTATTACGAACAATAATATATGTTTTTTTGTAACCATAGAAACATAGAATGTGAAAGCAGATAAGAACCATTCGGCCCATCTAGTCTGCCCAATTTTCTAAATACATTCATTAGTCCCTAGTCTTATCTTATAGTTAGGATAGCCTTATGCCTATCCCACGCATGCTTAAACTCCTTTACTGTGTTAACCTCTACCACTTCAGCTGGAAGGCTATTCCATGCATCCTCTACCCTCTCAGTAAAGTAATACTTCCTGATATTATTTTTAAACCTTTGTCCCTCTAATTTAAGACTATGTCCTCTTGTTGTGGTAGTTTTTCTTCTATTAAATATAGTCTCCTCCTTTACTGTGTTGATTCCCTTTATATATTTAAATGTTTCTATCATATCCCCCCTGTCTCGTCTTTCCTCCAAGCTATACATGTTAAGATCCTTTAACCTTTCCTGGTAAGTTTTATCCCGCAATCCATGAACCAGTTTAGTAGCCCTTCTCTGAACCCTCTCTAAGGTATCAATATCCTTCTGAAGATACGGTCTCCAGTACTGTGTACAATACTCCAAGTGAGGTCTCACCAGTGTTCTGTACAATGGTATGAGCACTTCCCTCTTTCTACTGCTAATACCTCTCCCTATACAACCAAGCATTCTGCTAGCATTTCCTGCTGCTCTATTACATTGTCTGCCTACCTTTAAGTCATCAGAAATAATCACCCCTAAATCCCTTTCCTCATATGTTGAGGTTAGGACTCTATCAAATATTCTGTACTCTGCCCTTGGGTTTTTACGTCCAAGATGCATTATCTTGCACTTATCCACATTAAATGTCAGTTGCCACAATTCTGACCATTTTTCTAGTTTATCTAAATCATTTGCCATTTGGTTTATCCCTCCTGGAACATCAACCCTGTTACATATCTTAGTATCATCAGCAAAAAGACATACCTTACCATCAAGACCTTCTGCAATATCACTAATAAAAATATTAAAGAGAATGGGTCCAAGTACAGATCCCTGAGGTACCCCACTGGTGACAAGTCCAAGCTTCGAATATATTCCATTAACTACAACCCTCTGTTGCCTGTCACTCAGCCACTGCCTTACCTATTCAACAATATTGGAATCCAAACTTAAAGATTGCAGTTTATTGATAAGCCTTCTATGTGCAACAGTGTCAAAAGCCTTACTGAAATCTAGGTAAGCAATGTCTACTGCACCACCCTGATCTATAATTTTAGTTACCCAATCAAAAAAATCAATAAGATTAGTTTGGCATGATCTCCCTGAAGTAAACCCATGTTGTCTCTGATCTTGAAATCCATGTGTTTTTAGATGTTCAGCAATCCTATCCTTTAACATGGTTTCCATCACTTTCCCCACTACTGAAGTAAGGCTTACTGGCCTATAGTTGCCCGACTCCTCCCTATTACCTTTCTTGTAAATGGGCACAACATTCGCTAACTTCCAATCTTCTGGGACTACTCCTGTTAACAATGACTGGTTAAATAAATCTGTTAATGGTTTTGCTAGTACACCACTAAGCTCTTTTAATAGCTTTGGGTGTATTCCATCAGGTCCAATTTATATGTAGTGTGTAATAATTGTTTTAGAAGGCATTTCATTTGTCCATACCAGCTGAAACACATTTGTGCAGATGCGAGAACTGTTTTGTTTTTGTCTTTTTTTTTTTTCTTTTTTTTTGAGAATTAGATAACTTGTAGCATCTGAGAACAATATTTACCATGTGCATGTTTCTTTAAAACTTTAATGGTAGCCAAATTATATTTACTATATTGATTTGTGGCCATTAAGGTTTGATTCTATCCTTCTCCCTCGTTCAAGTCACTTTTTCGTGTTTATTATATTACTTGTCAGTACCTGAATTTGTAAATCCAATGCAAGAAAAACCATCAATAATTTTTATAACAGACTTTTTTAAAGGACAACTGTCAAATTTTCGTTTTTTCAAAGTTTATTGCATGTAATGAAACACAATTATTTTTTTACATGACGTATATTGATTTTTTTTTTTTTAATTTGGGTCAAACTCTGCTGTTACCCGTCCAACTGCTGCTCGACCTAACTTGCTGCCGCTGTGATTGTTTTGTGTGAAACGGCAGCAGCAGAAAAGTTAGGTTGAGCGGCGGTTGGTTAGATAACAGTAGAATCTAAACCAAAATGACTGCTCTGACAGATAAAAAAAAATATATATATTTTCTAAGAAAATTAATATGCACAGTTTGAAAAAAATCATTGTTTCATTACAAAATGAGAAATCTCAGAGTATTATTACAGCGCAGTTTATTATTACAACTCATTCTATTGTTACAGCTCTGTGCTTTATTACAATTCCGTGTATTATTACAGCTTGTTGAATTATTACAGCTCAGTGTTTTTGTTAAAGCTTGGTGTATTATCATTCAATGTATTTTTATAGCTTGGTGCACTATTATACTATTATTACTCAGCGTAGTGATTCTGATGCCAATAATCTATGGGTGCTGTCCCCACAATTTTTGTCAAACTTTTTAGAAGCAATCTGACAAAAATCTGTGTTCTGGCTCCCCAAGATCTCCCTCTTACTACATTACCAGAGTCAGCTCCATCCAACCTAGACAACAGATAATACCATAATGGCCCTTGTTGCCATTAAATTACATTAGACATTTTCCTTCAGCCTGTTGTACACAATTGTTACCAAATCCTTCTTTCTTGAGCAAAACACTGCTGGAGACAGGCATGCCAAACCGTGTGATAGATGGGGATGGTGACTGGTTATAAGCTTGTAAGCCGAGTGTAAGTGAAATACCATCACCACAACCAGTGCCTCGATATTCTGATATTAGTAGGTTGGGTCAGTAGTGTACAATACATACATATCCTGATCATATCAGAGTCACATAGCCACGTAGAACCTTTCAGAATAACAGACAGGGCTGATTCAAATTTGAGCTGAGCTACCACCCTCAAAAGCATTGTGAGTTTGTTAAATAACGAATGCATTCTAAAACACAGACAAGAATATTCTATTACAGGGGTAGGCAACCTTCGGCACTCCAGATGTTGTGGATTATACCTACCATAATGCTCTAACAACATTTAATGCTGCAAAGCACCATGGGTGATGTAGTCTACAACATCTGGTGTGCTGATGGTTGACCACCCTTGTTCTATTACTTAGTTTACAATCATGAAGTAAATGAGAGAGATACATTGGTGAAGGATTAAGAGCCTACAGGGACATAACGTAACTCTTTAAAACATTAGCTGGCAAAGATTGCTTCGGACATGTTTTCCCGGAAGCTGTAATAATGAGGACATTAGTGAGGACACATTGTGCTGTTGGCCTAGTTACTCAGTATATGACCTTTCAGGATAATCTGGGCAGCTGTGCGCTCACACACACTCAGATAGGTCCTGTTACAGTCTTCATCGTCCCACATGGAAAAGGCAGAGAGTGTGACACAATCTTCAGCTTCATTGGATTTTGGTGGATTCCTCGACCAGAATCTAAAAAGAGGAGTAGTAAAGTTTTAAATACAAAACATGAACCTGGAATTGGACTGGATTCCTTTAGCTAATAAATGTTTATGTCAGAAAATGTTATGTTTTTTTTGTTTTGTTTTTTTCACAAAGACTCCAATTACTAGGGATAAAGAAATTGCTTAAATCTAGTGAGAACAATTCTAAAATAAAAGCTAAAAATAAATAAAACTCACACCATCGACTTATGCAATTATCCTTTATGTGTGAAATTCAAACAAGCATTGGATACAATTTTGTAGAATTTGTAATGAAACACTTTGTGGGAGAAATAATAAGTAAAAGTTGATGGTACAGGCAAGGTGCAACAGATGGCATCTCTACCGTCGGACATCTTACACAGGGCCTTTCAATCTTGCAGAATCTTCCACACTGTTTTGTACGCACGTTCATGCGCAAAATTAAAATGACGATGCAAGCTTCGAGTCTGGCAACCTTTTTTTGCCACAAGTTGAATAAAAAAAGATTACAGCAATGAAGAAAGTAGAACTGAAGTTAAATATATCTCCCACTCTTTCCTCTGCCAGGCTTCAACACCCACTATCTTACCTTTGCAAATAACCCACATCAACAAGTGGCTCTCCATCGAATAACCCTACATACAATCTAGCATTTCATAACTATCGACATCTTGACATTGCAGATGAGTTGGTAACAATACTGATACAAGCACAACGTCTTTTCAACATTTTCAACAACACTTTTGCAATTGCCCGTTTAATAAAAAACAGTCATATGCCTTACTCCAAGTAGTCCAGTTGGAGCAACAGTCACACTCATCTAAGATGACTTTGTATATTTGGGATTTTTATAGTGACCTCAGCAGCCCCCAAGATGCACTTGATCCATCGACTTATGCAATTATCCTTTATGTGTGAAATTCAAACAAACATTGGATACAATTTTGTAGAATTTGTAATGAAACACTTTGTGGGAGAAATAATAAGTAAAAGTTGATGGTACAGGCAAGGTGCAACAGATGGCATCTCTACCGTCAGACATCTTATAGAGGGTATTTCATCGGTCTGTGACCAATTTGAAAATTCTACAATATCGCCACTTTGTTTGTTGTTTAATTTTACAGTCCTGGGTACATCAGTCTCAGGATCATTGGAATTTTTTATGACAACTACTGGTAAACCCATTTTAGGTCAATCACCATTTTCTAACTTTGGCTGTGTTTATAGCAGAAAAATGTAGCAACATTTTTTTGGATTGCATTAAAAATGCTCATGGAATTCCGCACACAGTTACGGAAAAGTTATTCACCGAGGGTATGTGACATCATTTGTATAAGAATTGTTTGAATATGCTAAAGAAATTAGCACCTGTACCTAATCTATATTTGAACCACTAGGTGTCAGTGTGTGCATATAATTCAAACCACGCTCGATCCATTGCATTTTGTTAAAGGCAATCCTCCGCAATCACAGTTTTTAATCTTTAGAGATGATGCAGAAGTATAAATCTATTGGGTTTTTATTTTGGGTTTATAGAAATGATAGGATGCAGTGGAAACTGCTTTTATCATTTTCGGATGTTACATACATGAACTTGTATTCTCTTTTTAAATTGAATCTGTAACTTGTAGATGACAGATTCACCTTCAGATAGTTATAGATATAATGTATGCACAGTTCTGCAGGCAAATGTATAGATTAAAATTAAACAATCGCTACTTTTATAGAAATGCAGTAGCTAATTAAGGCCTCCATTTAATTCTATCTGCAGAAACCAGTTGATAATTATTGACTTTTTTCAATCAATTATTTTTGTCTGCGTCACAATTTTGATTTTTGCGAATCGGAACATATATTTTGAATAGTAGTGTAAGGAATTAATGTTTTGGGGGGGTTTTAATTGGCCATTTGTGGTGCAAAAAAAAGATTTTGCAAGAAAGGACATGTCTGATGATAATTATATCATTTTGTTTTAGAGATATTAGGTCATTATTAGGGTGAAAGTTGTAGGAAGATTTTTTTTTTTAATTAAATTGCCTCATCCAATTTTTCCAAAATTCGAACCGATAATTATCGGCTCCCAATAAGCCTTTAATGGCAGAAATTTAATCAATCCCAACTGTTAAATTGCTTTTCAGGAGCTGATAAACTACAAATAAACGTGATCATCTAAATAAATTGAGCACATTGTATGATAGATGTTCTGTATGATATAAAACTGATGGGTTTTGTGTGGTTTTGTGGATATTTACTGAGTTCTTCAGTAAAGTACAAATCGTCAGGTTTTTAAAGTGAGTTTCAAATTTTAGTTCACAAAGTGAAATTGGGAACATTCTTCAAGCCAGCTAAGGTTTTAGTTTGATTATGTGGCTCTTAAATGTGAAATTCACTGTAAATTCACTTTGTATTGCAATAATTCACACTTTAGTGGATAACCTAAATTAGCATTTGTATAAACCATTCGTATTGTTCAAAATATTGTGAGTGTACCTGATTGTTGGCACAGAGTTAGTGATTATTTTTAAATGGCTTATTTAATTAAAATCTTTTTTTGTGTAAAGCGATATTGTAGTGCCAGGAATACAAAGCTGTATTCCTGGCACTACCGATCCCTCTGCCTTCCCCCTCCGTCCCGCCCCTCCTACCCGATAAATAAAGGTTTAAAAACCCTTTATTTACTTACCTTAAGTACTACTCCTTAAGCAGTTTTAAGATATGGACTGGGATTCCTTCCACCTTTTTACTATATATTCATTTACTATTACAATGTTACTATTTTTACTTGTAGTTTACTACTGTAATATTTGTACTTGCAGTTACCTGTAGTAATTAATAATCTGGCTGATAGGATGTAATAGGAAAATATTTTAATATGTGCATCAAATGGCTAGTCTGTTCCACCATTCCTCCCCACCCTCACTCCCCCTGCTTGCCATTCCTAGCTGTAAATTCCTTTATATAACTGTGCATCTGTCAAGACTACTAATGTGATCCAACACGCAAAACTATGTAACATCTACATAGAATAGAAAAATAGACAGAACGTAAACTGGTCCTTAGAATGGCAGGATTAATACGTTGAAAGACAGAAAATGGTCAAGGGAAAGCCTAGGTCAAGGAAGCAAGAAATACACAAGATCGATAAGAAAGCCAAGTCAGGGAAACCAGAGATCAGAATAGTCAGGAATAGCCAAAGTCAGAATACCGGGAATATCAATAACAAGGACAAGAAAACGCACTCTCGGGAACAAGGAACAAAAACCACGACAAGGCAATGAGCTAGGGAAAATCAGGGGTTTAAATACCCCTCCTTGGGCTGTGATTGGTCAGAGCTTGGCCTCTGACCCCAGAATGCCCCAGAATGCATGACTGTGTGACCTTTGGAGGCGGAGCTACAAACGGCCGCGACCTCGTAGTCGGCGCCATTTTGGCTCCCGCGTGTGGAGGGGACGAATGCTCCAGCGGGTTCAGCTCCCGACTCATTGCTGAACAGGTAAGTCCTCCAACCTGACAGGGTGGTCGCACCGATCGGGTGCGACCATGTGCAGCCGCAAGCCGGGGGCCATGACAGCATCCTTCTGCTTCTTCAGGCCCAATTTAACTTCCATCCCTGCAACTAAGAATCTTTGTTTTTACTCTGCTCTGCCCACCCTGGTTCCTTCTAACGATATAGCATGACTCCTCCAGCTGTTGCCAACCACAGCCAATCACCTCCTCATTCCCTTCACATGTTATTAATCACTGCAGTCACACTATAAATTCTCTCTGCAATCACCTTCAATTTCCTCTGCTACCCCTTGTATCATTTCCCTATTTTACCTTTAGATTGTAAGCTTACGGGCAGGGCCATCTACCTTTTGTATCGGTCTGTTTATATTGTATTGTTCTCCCAATTGTACAGCGCTGCGGAATATGGCGACGCTTTATAAATGCCAGTTATAAAAATAAAAAAATAAAAACATTGCAGTTCTCTGGAATTGCAATGTTTTACACAGGGGCGTACCTAGAGCATTTGGTACCCGGGATGGGTCCTATTTTAAGCAATATTTTTTTATGTATTTACCAGTGAGCAGTGTTGGTGTGTTTGAATGTTAGCATTTTTTTATGGAGTATGTTTGAGTGAATGTAGCGGTGTGTTTGTATGTAGTGTTAGCGTTTAAGTGCAAGCATGCATTTGTGTGTAGTGTGGTTTTTGAATGAAGTGGTGTGGTTATATATAATGGTGGGGTTTGTATGCAGGGCCGGATTGGGAATAAAAAGCAGCCCTGGAATTTTTTTACACCAGCCCTAACATTAATTGTGCCAACTGTGACAGATATACAGGTGGAAAAACACAAAGGATTGAAAATTATTTACCCAACGTTTCATCCCCATAACTTGTTGCATATCTAATTTAAATGAATCTTATTTTGTTTAGTCCTCAATCCTATGAGTGCACTCTCCGTTGGATATAGTTTGATACCAGGGAATGAAAGACTGAGAGAAGGGCAGGGTTATCAACTAAACTAATCATTTTTGTGAATAAATTCCAAAAATTAGGCTACAATAGTCAAGCTGTGACTATGGTGAAGTTTGGATTTTTCAAATGCGCTATTTTGGTCTAAATTACGCAATTTCGATTTTCATTTTCAAAAATGAAAAATTTAGTGAATAACCCTTTGAAAAATGTAAAACCCTTGTTACATTTATATACGTGTGTAATCTCCAAATGTGTATTATGTATGCATATGTCTATTAACATATGTGTATCATACTGATGTGTATATATATATATATTTATTATAACCATAATAATTTATAAGATTACGTGTTTGTGTGTGTATATATACACACACACACACACAGTTTTACAAATTAGTTTGGAATGTAGCAGCCAGCTAGAAAAGTTAGGAGCCAGAGAAATCAACGTCAAAAATACAATTCTTAAAGGGACACTATAATCTCCAGAACCACTACAGCTTAATGTAGTTGCTCTGAAGTCTATATCCTGACCCTGAACGCTTTTAAATGTAAACACTGACTTTTCAGACAAAAGGCAGTATTTACATTGCTGCCTAGTGACACCTCTAGCGACAGTCACTCAGATGGCCTCTAGAAGTGCCTCCTGGGTCAGTGCTTCACACTGTGCAGCACCTACGTTAATGTTCCCTATACGGATGCATTGATTCAATGCATCTCTATGAGAAGTTAAATTGGCGCAGTGGCATTTTGCCGTGCATGCGCAATAGTCTCCCAATGCTTTGCTATGAGGAAGCATTGGATTGGCTGAGATCATCAAGATTGAGGATTTCAGCCATGGAGGGGGGGCCAGCCACAGCGTGGAAAAAAAGTTGAGTAAAAAAAAGAAAAGAAAACCCTTTCCCATGTGATTGGAGGGAACACACACACTTACTGACCAACTCAGACTCACTCACAGACAGACACAGAGACAGACACTCAGACAGACACACACTCACAGACATACTCACAAACACACACACTCAGACAGACACACACACTCACTCACAAGTAATTACTTTTTTATTTAAATCCACCCAGCCTCCCTACCTTTAGAGAGCTGGAGAGAATATGCTTTCCCTGGGGTCCAGTAGCACTGCTGTCATCTCCCTACTCGGCTCCCTCTCACGCACTGTTTAGTGAGCCGGGGGCCAGAGTGACATCATAACCCAGCTCCGTGAATCACTGCAAGCCGCGCAAGGGAGCAGAGCAGGGAGATTACAGCTCCTTCGCCGTGGCACTAAGTCAGCCGCCCGCCTCCCTCTGCTATCCATTACCCGGCTGCTCCCCTCCGTCAGCTGCCCACCTTTTCTACCACAGCTCTCCATGGACCAGCCACCCCTCTCCATTCCTCTGCAATAAATGAGCCGGCCGCCCAATTCCCTCTGTCAGCCGCCTGCCTTCCTCCCACAGCTCTCCATGAACCGGCTGCCACCTCCCTCTTTCAGCAGCCTGCCTACCTCAATCTTCAGTGATCCTAATGCTTGCCTCTGCTCTCAGGCAGCCGATCATCGTGGGGGCTGAACATGTATATATTTTGATATAATACACATATATTAATATACATTTGTGCAAATATATAGATGCATAATACTCCCACAAATCACCAAATCACATAAATAAAGCAAAACTATATAAAACTATATATATATATATATATATATATAATTTTTTTTAAATTCAATTTATTTTAAATAAAAAAAAATAAAAAAACATAGACAGACACATGGATTTTTAATTAATAAATACTCACTGGCACACACTGGCGTGTAGTCACTGATGCCCATACATACTGACATATACTCATCAACAGACACTGGCACACAAACTAATGCTGCATCCCATACAAACACTGGCACACAATCACTAATGCATACACACTCCCTGACATACACACACATTGATGCACATTGACACATTGATCCATACTGACACATTGATCCATACTGACAAACACACACATTGATCCACACTGACACAATGATCCATACTGACACACACACACATTGATCCACACTGACACATTGATCCATACTGACACACACACACACATTGATCCACACTGACACATCGATCCATACTGACACACACACACACACAAATTGATCCATACTGACACATTGATCCATACTGACACACACACTACAAAAATACACACCAAACACACTCACCACTACACCTTCAAATATAAACACTCTAAGACTCAGTACAATTAAAATGAAAGTGTTGGCGAGATTCTGAAAACTAAAACTTTTCACTAGGGGATGGGTTAATATGCTGCCATTGGCACAGAATTCACATTAGCCACCCAGATTTCTTGTTGTGGGTTGGCTGACACCTCTTAACTTCAATCTTTGTTTATCAGATAACTCCCCTATTTGCTATCCTTATGTGGGATTGGCATATTTAAGGACACCACATAAGGGAGCTATCTGCTAAACAACACCGTAATTTTGTATCTTTAAATATGGAAATCTCACATAAGGGCACCAATTTAGGGAATTATCTACTAAACAGCTAAAAGATCAAAATCAAAAAAAGCCCTTTTCTTAATTTTAATCTTTCAATTGTTTAGTAGATAATTCACTTATTTATTATCATTTTGTGAGATTGCAATATTTAAGGACACCACATACACATGTATAAACATCTGTGGTTGTGTGTGTGTGTGTGTATATATTATATATATATATATATATATATATATATATATACATACATACATAGTTACACACACAATTTGAGACATACACCCACATAAACACAGACACACAATCACAGACCCACACATACAATCACATACATAAACACACATAATCACAACACACACACTTAACCACAGAGATGCACACACAATCACACACATAATCACAGACCCAAACACATACAATTATAGACACACAATCACAATCATCACCTATATACACACATTTAATAAGAGGTCCACCCAACCTTCCTTCCTTGCTTTGGGAGGGCTGGAGTGAAGGGCTGGTGGTCAGTAGTTGCTGTTGGGATCTCTGTGCTTTTCCTGCACAGGTCCTTCGCATGTACTGTAATGACGCCGATGCCGAAATTACGTCATATCCCAGCTGCCGGCTCACTGCCGGGCGAAGACAGTCAGACACAGTCAGATGCACACAGTGATACACATGTACTGTCAAATATAGCCACATGCACACAGTCCCAGGCACATAGTCACTTGCACACAGTCAAACACACAGTTACAGACATTCAGTAGCACAGTTATACACACACAGCTACAGGCAGACTGTAACACAGTTACAGGCAGCATCACACAGTCACACACACTCAGTGAGATACAGACAGTCACATATGCAGTTACAGGCAGACAGTCACACACACAGTTACAGGCAGACAGTCACACACACAGTCACAGGTAGACAGTCACACACACAGTCATAGGTAGACAGTCACACACAGTCGCAGGCAGACAGCCACACACGCAGGCAATCATACACACAGTCATAGGCAGCCAGTTACACACACAGTCACAGGCAGACAGTCACACACACACAGTCACAGGTAGACAGTTACACACACAGTCACAGTCAAACACACTGTCATAGTCACAGGCAGATAATCACACACACACAATCACAGGCAGACAGTCACACACACAGTCACAGGCAGACAGTCACACACACACACAGTCACAGGGAGACACCCACACACAGGCATATAGTTACACATACAGTCACAGACAGTTACAGGCAGACAGTCACATACACACAGACAGTCACACACACTGTCACAGGCAGACAGTCACACACACACACACAGTCACACATACAGTCACGGGCAGTCACACACACTCACAGGCAGACAGACACAATCACAGTTACACACACACATAGCACACACTCTCTCTCACTGGAGGAGTGGAATCACTGACGTAGTTGTTGGGAAAGCAACAACTTTTCTGCTTCCCCTCTGTGTGCAGCAGTAGCTGCAGCGAGTGGAGGCCACCTTTAGCTCTGCCCCTGCTGCCAATTTGACTCTGCCTCCACATCCAATCTGGCCCCGCCCCCAACTCGCCGAGAAGTTCTCCTGCTCCCAGCCTCTGTGTGTGTGAGCTGTGTCGGCAGCCCGACGCCCCTGCTGCCAAGGTGCCCTGTGCAGCCACACAGCTTACCCAAAGCCTGACCAGCCCTGGTAGCACCCCCCTACCTTGTGGCACCCAGGGCAGACCGCCTGCTCCTTAGTATGCCACTGGTTTTACATTGCAGCACTAGTTTCAGAAGGAACACAGCACCCAGACCACTTCAATGAGCCTACATTGTCCCTTTAGTAAGATCAATTAATTTATTGTTTAAAAATTTTCAGTTTATATATTAAGTCAGGAATTGTGCAAATATTCAGCATAACTGCAGACATAGTCAGCTAAGCTGTGATGGTGTAGCTAGTTACCTAGGAGTTTTGTCATACGGCGTTCCATCAATCCAGCGCCAATATCCCTCTCTCTCATGATCTGACAGGCCAATCCAAGACTTCATTCCCACAATACTTTTGAGAAATACCTGAATCAGTGACAGGAATATATGGAAAATAAGCATGAGAACATGTGTAGGTGATAGATGAAGAGCACACTGATTCATTCATACTCTCTACCGCAGACAGACCATACTGTCCTATCACAACAATATATACAGGGTACATGCATTCACTTATACTCATTGTCCCAGGCTATACTGCTGCCCCATCACGCCAGTAAATACTCAACACTTTCACTCATACTCTCTGCCGAAGGTCATACGGTCCCATCATACCAATAAATACTGAACTCATTCATTCTCTCATACTTGCTGCCCCAATAATAAATGGACACGTTCATTTACTCATACGCTCTATCCCAATAAATAATGGACACATTAATTTGCACATACACTCTGTCCCATTAAATGCTGCTAGACACATTCTTTCACTCATAGTCTCTACTCCAGTCAATGGACACATTCATTCACTCATACTCTCTACCCCAGTCAATAATGGACACATTCATTCATTCATACTTTCTACCCCAGTCAATAATAGACACATTCATTCACTCATACTCTCTGCGCCAGGTCATACTGCTCCGTACAGAGAATAAGTATTGGGCAAATTCCTTCACACATACTTAATGCCCAAATCATGTAGGCCCGAAATACCACTAGGTATGGGATGCATAGATTGAATCATAATAAGCTGTGCCCCAGGCAATATGGCCTCATCACAATAAATGCTACAGACATTACATTATTACAAATATTTGTGGAAAGTAACAATTAAAGAATATGCATGACTTTTTTCATCAACATGAGTTAAAGTACAGATATTGGGCTTTACCTGTTCCTTCTCACTGTTAATTACAGCCAGATACCCGCCTTGAGTCCTGCACCAGTGACCACCCTGCATCCAGTTTTTAGTACCTGAAGATCGCAGATAGCAGGACAAGCCAAACAGCTGCCATTTAGACGGGCAAAAATGGCACACAAGAACTGTAAGGGATGATAATAATAACAACGCTGTGAGGCAACTGTGTGTAGCAGGTACAGTCTGCCTATATCGATGATGCTGTGAGGTCACTGTGTGTGTAGCAGGTACAGTCTGTGCGTATCAGTAACGTTGTGAGGTCACTGTGTGTGTAGCAGGTACAGTCTGTGTGTATTGGTGACGCTGTGAGGTCACTCTGTGTGTAGCAGGTACAGTCTGTGCGTATCAGTGACGCTGTGAGGTCACTGTGTGTGTAGCAGATACAGTCTTTGTGTATCAGTGACGCTGTGAGGTCACTGTGTGTGTAGCAGGTACAGTCTGTGCGTATCAGTGACGCTGTGAGGTCACTGTGTGTGTAGCAGGTACAATCTGTACGTATTGGTGACTCTCTGAGGTCACTCTGTGTAACAGTGTGTGTATTGGTGACACTGTGAGGTCGCTCTGTGTGTAGCAGGTACAGTCTGTGTGTATCGGTGACACTGTGAGGTCACTCTGTGTGAATCGGTAACACTGTGAGGTCACTCTGTGTGTTACAGGTACAGTCTGTGCGTATCAGTGACGCTGTGAGGTCATTCTGTGTATAGCAGGTACAGTCCGTGTGTATGGGTGACACTGTAAGGTCACTCTGTGTGTAGTAGTTTGTGTATCAGTGACACTGTGCTGTCGCTCTGTGTGTAGCAGGTACAGTCTGTGTGTATCAGTGACACTGTGAGGTCACTCTGTGTGTAGCAGATTCAGTCTGTGTGTATTGGTGATGCTGTGCAGTCGCTCTGTGTGTAGCAGATACAGTCTGTGACTATCGGTGATGCTGTGAGGTCACTGTGTGTAGCAGGTACAGTCTGTGTGTATCGGTAACACTGTGAGGTCACTCTGTGTGTAGCAGGTACAGTCCGTGCGTATCAGTGATGCTGTGAGGTCACTCTGTGTATAGCAGGTACAGTCCGTGCGTGTGGGTGACACTGTGTGTAGCAGGTACAGTCCGTGCGTGTGGGTGACACTGTGTGTAGCAGGTACAGTCCGTGCGTATCAGTAACGCTGTGAGGTCACTCTGTGTATAGCAGGTACAGTCCGTGCGTGTGGGTGACACTGTAAGGTCACTCTGTGTGTAGCAGGTACAGTCCGTGCGTATCAGTGACGCTGTGAGGTCACTCTGTGTATAGCAGGTACAGTCCGTGTGTATGGGTGATACTGTGAGGTTACTGTGTATACCAGTGGTATTCCTAGAAGGCATCTACTAGTAATTACTGTCACTCACTGTTGTTATCAGAGTCATTTCTTTGGCAGGTATTAAGAAATGCACTGCTCCTGGGAATGAGAATGTTCCTCTCCATGAAAACATTGTACTCTTTGCGCAGGGCACTGTAATTTTGGTGCACTGCTTGTCGCTGAAGCTTTATATCCTGGATCTGCCTCTGGTAATGTGTTAGGTTCTGGGTTAGATGAAAAAGGATGGTGTTTTCCAATGACTGATGTGCTTGCTGCATGGCAGAAAGGTTGCCGCTAAGATAGATGCTGCATGCTCGTTCCTCGTCCAACTCCATGAGGCCACGGCTCTGGTTCTGGCGCAGATCTTCCATTTCTTTTTGGATCCTGAACAGATGGTAATTGACCTGCAAGTCTGAGAGAGCATAGTTCATCACTCCTGCCAGAATATTACAACTGACATCATCACTTCTCTCGCAAAAGTATAACTCTGACATCATCACTTCTCCCACTGATATACAACTATCATGAATGCTCCAACAGTGGTTTCATTATCAACACTTCACTTACAGTGTTACAACTATCATCACTTTTCCCACAGCTTTACAAACTAAAGATGTTATTAAAAGAACACTATAGGGTCAGCAACACAAACATGTATTCCTGAACCAATAGTGGTAAAAACACCATCTAGCCCTTCTTGCCCTCCCTACATATAGGAAAATCGTATTTCTATTCCAGTCTGCTGCTGCTGCTGGCTCTGTGCCTGATCTGCCTGTTTGGCTGACATCATCAGTGTTGCTTAATAGAAATCACAATGCTTTCTCATACGAAAGCATTGGATTGGCTAAGACTGTCAAGGAGGCAAATCAAGGGTAGAGCCAGCACAAGCCAAACACCGCCCTGGCCAATCAGCGTGTTCTCATGGAGATTAATTGAATCAATGAGTAAAGTTCAGTGTCTCCATGCAGAGGCTGGAGACACTGAATGGCAGTGCTCCACTGCCCCAGGGTGCACTTCTAGTAGCCATTTGAATATGAGGAGTGGCCAGTGGAGGTATCCCTAGGCTGTAAATTAAACACTGCATTTTCTCTAAAAATAGTGTTTACTCTGGGCTGGCCTTAGGGGTGTGCGAGCTGTGCTGCAGGACAGGGCGCCATTGCGAAAGGGACGCCGAGTGGCAGACACAGCTCGCACTCGGTCACTCACAGGCCGGCTCGAGATATCTGTCTGCAGACTGCAGTGCAGAGCAAGTCAAGTGACTTGACTTGCGAATTCTGAGGCAAGCCGGGGCCGTGAATCACGTTTATTGTGGTGCAGAAAGATGAGGTCTGGAGCACGCAAGGGGAGCGTGGGGGAGCGACACCGCTCACTTACGTAACGTGCTCTGCCCTCACAGTCATTCGACGGAGGTGGCCAGGGCCAGTGCTTTTGAGTTTGGATTCGAAATGGGACACTGTCAGGTGGGACCAGGGAGCAGCAGGTTTTAAGATAAATGTGATTATTCTTGATATTATTGCTTTTTTTTTTATTAAACAGATTATGTTTTGATTAAGGGTGGCAGGGGTTTTGGTTTGGGTGGAGTTGTAGAAGGAGGCAGTGGTTTTGGTGAAGTGGCAAGGGAAGGGGGGGAAAGGGTTTTTGTAGAAGGGGCAGTAGTTTTGGTGAATGGGGGTTGGGATTTTGTTGAAGATGGGCAGGGGTTTTATGGGAAGTGTCAAGGATTTTGTTGAAGGGGGAACAGAGGGCTTGTAGAGGGGTGGGCAAGGGTTTTGTAGAATTGGGGGCAAACCTTTTGTATAAGTGGGGGGGGCAGAATTTTGTAGGAGGGAGGCTGGGGTTTTGTAGAAGGGGGCAGAGCTTTTATATAAGAGGGGCCAGAGGTTTTGTAGAAGAGGGGCAGTGTTTTGGTGAATTGGGGCAGGGATTTGTGGAAAGGGTCAGGTGTTTTATAGAACTGGAAGCAGGGCTTTTGTTATAGTGGGCAGAGGATTTGGTGAAAGGGGGCCGGGGTTTTATAGTGGATAGCATGGGTTATAAACATGTTAAATAGAAGTTGGCTCTTTTGTAGATAGGGTCGCTGTACGGGTACTAGCGTTACCCTCAATTTGTAAGTCCAGGGAATGGTGTTACCTTGTAGCATGGGTTTTGTGAAGGGCAGGCATGGGTTTTGTTAAAGGGTGAGTAGGAATTTTGTAGAGGGGGGGCAGAAGTTTTGTAAAAAGGGGGCATGGATTTTGTAGAAAGAGGCAAAAGTTTTGTAGTAGGGGGAGCAAGATTATTGTAGAAGGAGCAGAGGTTTTGTTTAAGGGTGATGCAGGGGTTTTGTTAAAAAGGGGGTGCCACGAGATTGGCTTGCACAGAGCGCTTGAACCCCTAAGTCCGGCCCTGTGTTTATTTCAAAAAGCCTAAAGGGACTGATTATATTCACCAGAACAAGTACAATAAGCTGTAGTTGTTCTGGTGACTATAGTGTCCCTTTAAAGGACAACTGTCACCTCAAAATTATTATTTTTTTTAAACCTCATCCCTTCCATTAGTATATGACAGGATCCTTCAGCCATATACATGCAACTTATCGGACAGTGAAAACCAAGTTACTCTGTGTGGTTTTCACATATTTTTCTATACAAGGAGTGTAGCCAGGGAGACCATAGAGACAGTCAGAGACAGTCAGTTTTCAAACACTATCCAACCCAAGGTGCACCTATATGGCTGAAGGATCCTTTCATATACTAAAGAGAGGGATGTGTTTTAAATTTTTTTTTTTTTTTACATATACTTCATTTTAAAAAAATCCATTCAATACTTGATTAAGGAATTATTCTATGAAAATGGTTTTGAGGTGATAGTTGTCCTTTAATTAACAGGGTCACTATAGTCACAAAAACAACTTAATGAATCTGTTTGTGTGTATATACCATGCCTCTGAGTTCCACAAGAGTCTAATGGTTTGTCATTGCAACTATCGTCTTTCTAGTCGTCAAAGGGTCAATATTAAACTGTATTCTTTGAATTAATGTAAGAGCAATGTATACATTGCGACGTTGTAGCTGCACTCACATAGTGACATCAGAGACAAGGCCACAACTAGTAACAGGAAGAGCAGACACATCATCCCAGCCAGAGCCCAGCGCCATACGACAAGATGCTTCTTAGTCTTCAACCTGTAAAAGAGAACGGATCTGCAGGGCCCAGCGTTCCCTTTAAATACATGCAGAACCCCCACCAAAAATCTCTCTATACCCCAAATACATCCTACAAGGCACAATCCCATCCATTAACTTGAGTTTTATTACTTTGTAGCATTGTGACACTCTGCTCATTACTGTACCTTTAATTGCTCTGGAGCTCTGATACTCATACACATTGCACATTACTATGAGTTCTATTGCTGTGGAGCTCTGTGATATATTCATACAAATTGCACTTTACTGTGCATTTAATTGCTGTGCGGCTCTATGATAAACTCAGAAAAAGTACACAACGCTGTTTTATGTCTGTGGAGCTCTGTGCTACCCTCATACAAGCTACACATTGATGTATGTTTACATACACACTGCTCTTTACTGTGAAGCTCTATGAAATACTCATACTGTCATACACACCACACATTACTGAGTTTGATTTCTGTGGAGCTCTATGACATACTCATACACTTGCCCATTACTGTGAGTGATTTCTGTGGAGCTCAGTGATGCACTGATACACACTGCACATTACTGTGAGTTTTATTTTTGTGGAGCTCTCTGATACACTCATACAAACCGCACATTACTGTGAGTTTAATTTCTGTGAAGCTCTGTGATGCACTCATACACACCACACATTACTGTGAGTTTTATTTCTGTGGAGCTCTGTGAGGCACTCATACACACTGCACATTACTGTGAGTTTTATTTCTGTGGAGCTCTGTGATACTCTCACACACACCGCACATTACTGTGAGTTTGATTTCTGTGGAGCTCTGCATGCAATGATTTTGTTCTGGAATTATTACTTACTCATTCTCGCTGGAGAAATGTGCGTCATCCAGGGTATTCCTGCGTTCTGCCTGGCTCTGCCAGGTGTGGTCAGCGTATAATTCAAACTCCATCTGTACTTGGAATACACTGACACAGACAAGCACTGGTTTACAAGGCACGGTCAGCCGTGCCAACTTATGTTATGTTCCTCCTGTTCTGTTTCCCATCTGATGATATCTAGAGATTTCATGGCCACTCTATTTATAATATGGCATTGTGCTTGGTTTGTGAATGCTACAATCACAGATACAGTGTTATAAATTCCCCCACACCACATTCTTCATCTCTCTATATGTACAGCACACTGTGTTAAGGGAACAGATTAAAAATCCTTAAAACTAAAACGCAACCCTAAATATGATTGCAATATAGGGGTCATGGCGGACAATTTGCCAAATGATCAATGAAGCAGCACCATGCCTGTCCTTTACAGTTAGAGTTAATGGAGTGATGGTCATTTAAAGTGTGAGCAAGCAATATTCGTTAAGCGTGAGACATTAGGGTTAGTGATCAGTTTCTGGAATGTAGAGGGTTAATGGAGCAATGCTCTGCCTGCCTCTGACAGGTTACATTTTAATTGAAATAGATGTTCAGTCATTCTGTGAGTTAGAATTATTGGAGTGATGCTCTACTGGTCTGTGGCACTACAGGTAAAAAAGAGAGATACTCTGCAGACCGTAATTCTGCTAACAGTTACGGTGGTTAGTGGTTAATTGAGCAACGCTCTGGTAGTCCATGACTGAACAAACATAGCAACGCACAGCCAGTAAATGATGGCGAAAGGTTAAATGAGCAATAATCTGCCGGGGTTGTGATAGTCTGAGTTTATTCAGAGTTTTGTCAGCTTGCCGTTGTAAGAGTTAATAAAGTGATGCTGTGCCGGTCTGTTAAGGGTTAATAAAACAATACTCTACTACTGGTTGGTAGCACAGTAAGGGTTAATGGAGCCATGACACAATAATTAAGCAATGTTCTATCAGTTTTTTAAACAGCTGTTAGGCCACATATGATGGAATACTAAAATCAGGAGCCAAAATAAACCCAAGGGGATTACACTTTACTGAGTAAGATACAGACGGTTTATACAGCCCAAATTAACAATAATAAAATGTCCTTTAGAACCAGAAAGTGACAGGGAATTATTGGAAAGCAGACACCTAGGAAACATTGCTCATCCTTTTCATGACTGTTGGGTCTTGTTAATTAAGGGATTGCACTGTAGATATGTGACACTGTAAGGGTTAATGAAGTGATGCACTGTAGCTCTGACACCTTTAGGGTTAATGAAGCGATACGCTGTAGATCTGACACGGTAAAGGTTAATGAAGCGATGCACTATAGGTCTGTGACACTGTAATGGTAACTGAAGTGATGATCTGTTGGTATGTGTAACACTAATGCAGTGCTAATGAAGTGATGCTCTGCTTGTGTGTGACAAATTACAGGAACACTATAGTGTTAGGAATACAAAGATGTATTACTAACATTATCATGCTGGAGTACCTGTTTAGGACTCTGGCCCCTCTCAGAATGGGGGGGAAAAAGTTTTTAACTTGCTTTTTTTCCTCAGCTGCACAGAGCTCTTCGATGCTGGATCCACCTCCATGGTTGAGATCATCAATCTTGACAATCTCTTCCTGTTAAAGACTAACACACACCCCTGCCCCCCAACACACACAGATTAATTTTTTATTTAAATCCACCCATCCTCCCTACCTTTGGGACCTGGGGTCCAGTGGGGCTGCTGGCCTGGGCAGGCCTGTAGGCAGTTGACGTCATATTGTGGCTCCCGGCATTACTCTGCGACGCGTGAGGGAGCTGAGCAGAGAGAGGTCACAAATCAGCATTCCATCACCGCTCACCTTGGAACTCAGCTAGCCACCTGCAACCAGGCTAACAAGGTATTTGCCTGGGCATTTGGGGGCGGCGTTTTTTGCCGACCCCTGAAATGTGCAGCCCAAGGCAAATGTCTTGTTTGCCTTGCGGCAAATATGTCCGTGCCTGCACCAATCAGCATCTCCTAGAGATGCAACTGAATCTGCATCTGTAAGGGGAACGTTCAGCGTGTCCATGTAATGTGTGGAAAGCTAAACGTAGGTGCCACACACAGTGCAGCACTGATCAGGGCACCGCCTCTAGCGGCCGTCTGAGTGACTGCTAATAGATGTGTTCCTACCCAGCAATGTAAACGCTAACTTTTCTCTGAAAAGCCTGCAGGTACAGGCTATAGCCTCCAGAACTACTACATTTATTAAGCTGTGATGGTTCTCTTGACTATAGTGTCCGTTTAAAGGAAACTTATGCCAAGCATCAGCGAGTATTTCATGTAGGGATAGTTAAAGGAGTACTATAGGGATCAAAACGTTAGCTTAATGAAGGAGTCTCACTGCTCAATTTTCTACCATTTAGAAGTAAAATCAATCACTTTTGTTTCTGTTTATGCAGCCCTAGCCACACCTTCCCTGGTTTTGACTCACAGTCTGCATGGAAAAAAGTTTAATTTTCAAGCAGACGTTAACTTGCTTTTAAAAAAAATGTTAATCCCGTGGGGCGGTGCCTGACCGCTGAGCTGAGAGGACGCAGTGTAGAGCTGCTCCTGATCTTTCAGGCAAACACTGCTGATTAATGGGCATAAACAGCCTCCAATCAACTTCTAAGGGCCACCAACTGAGAGGTGACACCATGGAGCACAAGCTGACACCAAACAAGCAGCAGAACCTACAAGTCTCACCAAGGCGACTGTCGCAGCCTACAAGCGTGGTCGGCGCAGGGGAGGTGGCTGCACCTCTGCCGCCATCAACAGCAGAAATCTCAGAAAAGGGCCCTTCTCTCCCCCCTATGGACTAGTGGGGGTTATCCCGGTCCCAGGAGGGCACCTCCATGCTGTGGTACAGCGTCCTTGGACACAACTAGCTAATCCCCAAATGATGGCAACCAACACTGGGCCACCCGACATAGCAACAAGGTCAGACACGCCACAAGATGCCATATTCGCAGCCTTCTGGATGAAAATGGCACTTAGGGAGCAGCAAGCGCTCGCATACCCCCAGAGAAGTACTCACTCCTGGCACTACACACACGCTACCACCCCAGAGGCACATCGCATAAAGCGAGCCCGAAAATGGCGCCGCAGACAGCGTCTTCTACTTACAGCTTGCAAAGCAGCACACCCGCACCCAGCAACAGCTACCTCTGAACACAAGCATTTGCAGACTCTGGCCAAACCACCCACCTCGGCCCGAAGCGAGGTCTCAGAAGAACTTGCAATCCTTCCTGAGGAGTTACCTTGCACCTATAAGGAGCACCTGGCAAACCACTCCAGGCAGGACCAACATTAGCTTCACAGCACATCTCCATGTGAGCGTCCGCCCAGACCAAAACAAGAGACTCAAGTAAAGGCTTCATACTGCCCCAACAGGGCATTGGCTGACCTCGGCACCTAGCTGCGGACACTAACCCAGGCACAGAACTCCCTGCAGGACTTCCACTCCCTCGGCCAGTTGTAGAGGAAGGACATTGTTTGTCCATTAGTGTGTGTGTGTATATATATATATATATATATATATATCTCCACACATTGTATATTCTCTCCTCTATAGCTACCACCTTACCTTAAACCCTCTAAACGACCTAATGTGCATCTACTTTAGCCTGAACTACACTACATAATATCTGCCTATACTAGACCAGCTATAAATGTCAATAAGACAGAAAATACATGTTGAGCCTTAGTCCACTCGTTAAACATATAATTTTATCTAAGCCAGCAATGTCAGCTACTATAGCCTGTTTAATTTCATTTTCATGCTTAATGTTGATAATCCACTGACATAGCTACCTACGCTTGTTTATATTATCTATACCTTAAAAATGTGCCATAACTTCAATGCCATATCTGTGAATTACTGTGATATTAATGTGCTTACAAATGCTGTTGTGGCATCGTAAGACGTTTTGTTATCCCTTCCACAATAAAAATAAAGAATAAAGAAGGGGAAGCCCCTGGTCTTTAAGTTTGACGTTACAAACAGGAGGCTATTAACCGAGCAGGAGATAACCACACTATGCAATAAAGGAACCTAAAATATCCAGGTTCCTTTTCAGGAAGTGTTTAGGTAGGCTGTGCAAGTCACATGCAGGGAGATATGTATAAACCAAGTGACTGAACTCCTAAATGGAAGAGAATTGAGCAGTGAAACAGTTTCATTAAGCTAAAGTTGTTTTGATACCTATAGTGCCTCTTTAAGGAAAGATGCTCAACTTAAAGGGGCACAGGCAGTACAAGTCACATGCAGGGGCATTAGAGCTCTCCATAGGAAAGCATTGCTTTTCAATGCTTTCCTATGGTGATTTTAGCGACGCTGGAGGTCCTTACATAGCGTGAGGACGTCCAGCGATGCTCTAGCACAGAAAACCTGTGCTATAGCCATGGAAGTGCCCTCTAGTGACTGTCTAGTAGACAGCCACTACAGGAGGAGTTAACCCTGCAAGGTAATTATTGCAGTTTAAAAAACAAAACAAAAAAAACTGCAATAATTAAACTTGCAGTATTAAGGGTAGTGGGAGTTGGCACCCAGACCACTCCAATGGGCATAAGTGGTCCGGGTCCCTTTAATGAAGGGGTGCTCTGCAAATATTTCCCCAGTAAGGGTTAATAAAGCCATGCTATTCGACACAATAAAGGTAAATGAATCCATACCCTGCCAATCTCTGAAACAGTGAGAATTGAACTGCTTTGCCAGTCTGAGACATAGTAAGGGTTAATGAAAAGCCACTCTGCCATTCTGTGACACAATAAGCATTAATGAGGCCATGCCTTGCCATTCTTTGACACAGTAAAGGTTGCGAAGACATGTTCGGGCAGTCTGTGATACAGCAAAAGGTTAATGAGTTGTTCGGGCAGTCTGTGAGTTCTGAACGAATCCTCTTGTAATGGCATGGTGTTAACTCTGCAATGATCCAGTAAATTTTAATGAGAAGGTATTTGTCATTCTGTGATACAGTGAGCTGTTTTAGTTAATAAATCATTGCTCTACTTAAAGGACCACTCTAGGCACCCAGACCACTTCAGCTTAATGAGGTGGTCTGGGTGCCTGGTCCAGCTAGGGTTAACCCATTTTTTCATAAACATAGCAGTTTCAGATAAACTGCTATGTTTATGAATGGGTTAAGCCTTCCCCTATTTCCTCTAGCAGCTGTCTCATTGACAGCCGCTAGTGGCGCTTGCGTGCTTCTCACTGTGAAAATCACAGTGAGAGCACGCCAGCGTCCATAGGAAAGCATTATGAATGCTTTCCTATGTGACCGGCTGAATGCGCGCGCAGCTCTTGCCGCGCGTGCGCATTCAGCCGACGGGGAGGAAAAGAGGATCAGAGGCGGAGAACTCTCCGCCCAGCGCTGGAAAAAGGTAAGTTTTTACCCCTTTCCAGAGCCGGGCGGGAGGGGGACCCTGAGGGTGGAGGCACCCTCAGGGAACTATAATGTCAGGAAAACTAGTGTGTTTTCCTGGCACTATAGTGGTCCTTTAACTGTAACCCAGCAGGGATTTAAGATGCTCTGTCATTTCTCAAGAGTTAATGGGATACTATTGCTGGCACTCAAGGATCTGTACTTGGACCCATTCTCTTTAATATTTTTATTAGCGATACTGCAGAAGGTCTTGATGGTAAGGTATGTCTTTTTATTGATGATATGAAGATATGTAACAGGGTTGATGTTCCAGGAGGGATAAGTCAAATGGCAAATGATTTGGGTAAACTAGAAAAACGGTCAGAGTTGTGGCAGCTGACATTTAGTGTGGATAAATGCAAGATAATGCATCTTAGACGTAAAAACCCAAGTACAGAATATTTGCTTGAGTCCTAACCTCACCATCTGAGGAAAGGGATTAAGGGGTAATTATTTCTGATGACTTAAAGGTAGGCAGATAATGTAATAGAGCAGCAGGAAATGCTAGCAGAATGCTTAGTTGTATAGCGAGTGGTATTGGCATGAGAAAGAAGCTCATGCCATTGTACAGAACACTGGTGAGGCCTCACGCAGTACTGGAGACTGTAGGTCCAGAAGGATATTGATACTTTAGAGAGGGTTCAGAGAAGGGCTACTAAACTGGTTCACAGATTGCAGGATAAAACTTACAAGGAAAGGTTAAAGGAACTTAACATGTATAGCTTGGATGAAAGACAAGACAGGGGGGATATGATAGAAACATTTAAATACATAAATGGAATCAACACAGTAAAGGAGGAGACTATATTTAAACAAAGAAATACTACCACAACAAGAGGACAGTCTTAAATTAGAAGGGCAAAGGTTTAAAAATAAATCAGGAAGTACTACTTTACTTATAGGGTTGTGGATGCATGGACTAGCCTTCCAGCTGAAGTGGTAGAGGTTAACACAGTAAAGGAGTTTAAGCATGCGTGGGGTAGGCATAAGGCTATCCTAGCTATAAGATAAGGCCAGGGACTAATGAAAGTATTTAGAAAATTGGGCAGACTAGATGGGCCAAATGGTTCTTACCTGCCGTCACACTATGTTTCTACAATCACTTCATCTCATTAAAGTGGTTATAGTGACTGAAGTATCCCTGGTCCTCTACTTCCATTGAGAGTTAAACACAGCTGGATTAGATCTCTTAAACACTTACCTTGGAACTGGTTCCTTCTGATTTGCAAGCATACCAGTTAAAAATGATATGGTATCACCTTATAATAACAAATAATAAGTCACCAATACAGTGCACGGTCATGTTCACAGCAATGTACAAAATACATTTAAGTACTAGATTTCCTTGTTATTAGCCTTTGGGATTATTGGCACAGAGGTAAAAGCTACAAATATGGCAGTTAGCATGCTACACATCCCCTCGCCTGACCACTGCAGAAGGCATCTTACAGAAGGCAAATGTGACCTTCGGCCAAGCACACATCATTATTTACTCTCATTCTGCACCATCCGGTGCCTACTTTAAAAAAACAGTAATTTTATGTATTTATGTATAACCTGCATCATTCACTATTCAGACACGTGTCAGAGCACCACACAAAACACTTCAAACAGCAAGTGGCCCCAGCCATGTCATAATGTATATTTGATATTAGTGCAGATTACAAACATAGATATTAATTCATATCTAATCCGTATGTACAGATTATGTGCAGGATATACCCAGCAGGCACTCAATACCAGGCTCAGATTTCCATTGTTTTGGGAATGAACTAGACGTGGCACATATGCGGAAACATGGTAGAGAGCTTTATTGCATCTCTAGGAAAACGTGGTGTGGTTGTAATGCCACTTTTAAAAAGGCAGTGCTTGGCTGCTTCCTGGATGTGTCATCACATGGCAGCACCTACCACTCGACATCATTTGGAAACCATGACTGGATAAGGCTATTGCCGTGGAGACAGGCCAACATTCCACAGAAGATTCCATTCGCCAAAGCATATGGGTGAACCACATTACAGAGATTCCCCACCAAAGGCCACTAGTGACCACAATGCACATTCTGACCAACTCGATTCTATGTTATCAGAGTTAATATCACTTCCCTGTGTTTCGACAGGCCTTGATGGCTGACACAGTCCCAGAGCTCAGTTGTCATGTTATCAAAACCATAGTCACTAATCCGTGTTATTAGCTGCCCTGTGAAACTAGTCGCCGGCCACTTTCAGACTTGAACTGTGCTGTGAGAAAGAAGGTTTCAGAAACGTAAAAAGTTCAAGTAGATCGTCTGGGAAACACCCCAGACAGTAGAAAAGTCTAAAAAAACAGGGTGACCCCCAACACCCCTTTTCCCTCAGGGTTATCAGCAACTGCAAATAGTTTTTAATTTAAAAAAAAAAAAAAATCAGCAATTTTATTTCCTGGCAGTGTAAACTCCCTGGTCTCCCATCCTTCATCTTCATCCTCCAAACAAGCATGGAAGGAGCTTTCTGGAGTACTGGCGAGGAGCAGCATACAATCTAAGGAGAGAGGACAAACACAAAAATAAAATGAAGGAAGTCTCAGCATACAGAAATAGTTGAGAAAAATGTTTCCAGCTCATCCTTCTGGCCTTAAAATTTGCAGCGGATTAAAGTTTGTTAATTCCCGACAAGTTATAGTTTAGTAAATAAATGTGTGCATAAAACATAAAAATAAGAAACATATCACAGTTTATTCGTGGTGGGTCGAATGAAGTCTAGATTAGCAAAGTTCCATCAAAATGACCGAATATTAGTAGATTTCCAACACTCACTTTCAGTGAAGGCAAATTCTGTTGATATTCTGTCATTTCAACCAGATGAGTATATGTCGTTCAGTACCATCTGGTGTCTGCTTTAAAATCAGTCATTTTTTATTGTGAATCTTTCATCTCAAGGGATTTGCCTATTTATCAAACACTGAATGTTAGCCAGTTTCACTCTGCATAATCCACTAACAGGCAAGTTTACTAAATAAATGTACCTGCCTTTATTGGCAGAAAACAGCCAGTGGACAAATGGTTAAATAAAAGGAAAGTCTATTAAAGAAAGACGGCTTAAACAAAAATTAGATTGAAAGGACAGAAATGGTGGAAACAAACAGGTGACAATTTGCGAGGACAAAGGGGGATAAAGTGGAACTGTCACTACTGAGATTCTTACACAAACCATTATCTAATTAAAAGTAAGGTTTACATTGTATTCCTGGTTGCCCGGGGACAGCCATCGTATACCATGTAATTAACTTGGGACGTGCTGGTACACGTACATGTATGGTGCTATTACTATGTCAAAATGTGTATGTTTTCGCTGTAGTTACCATTGTATTTTACCTCCAACATGAAAATGCTGTGGAGGAAAATGCGGTTTCCATTTTTTTTTATTTTTTATTTTTTTACTTGTCTGCTCAGCACTACTCGCCCAACTAAAAAACACTTTAACAGCTTTTTCAGGGTAAAGGAAGAAGGAACTGTCACATTTACAACAGTGACAATTCCACTTTAAGCAGATAAACCACAAACAAAGTAAGACAGTTAATAAAAAAAAGAAAAAGAAAAGGGAAACAGATCAAATAAGAACTTAAATAAATTAGTGTCAATGAAGAACAAGAGGAGGATGAAGAGACAGTAGAGACAGAACTGGAGGAGGACACCACCTTCTCGTGAGAAGACACTCACCATAGAGTACTATCAGTGGGATTTCTGCAGCTTGTCTTTCTTTTGCACCAGGATAGTGCGCAGATAAGGCAGCACAATGAGCAGCAATATGAATGTTACATGGCCTATGAAATAGACCGATGTGTACACCTGGAAGACAGAAAAAAAGGAGTTCAATTAACATAGAGGCTATGGGTTTAGAAAGGTTACAAGAGTAAATTAACTCAATGTAGACCACAAGTGTGTCCACTTATCAACAAAAATGATCGAGCTCACAAGCAGCAGTTAACCCAAGGATGCCCACAAATGATTTTTTTATTTCGGCAGCTAAAAGGAAATGAATGATCGAGGAAACCGGCCCCATTTTCCACACTACATTTCACTGATAAACTCAAAGGTTATCTTTTCATACAAAGCTAACAAGGCATCGACAAATGTAATGCTGTTTGAGAAGGATGCGAGAACCCAAGAACAAAGTCATAAGTGCCATCTACCTAAGACAAGGAATGAATGACAAGTGGGGTATAGAAAGTGAAAGTTACGCAAATTGTTGCATAACAGTTGCCCAGTTTACCTTGAGCCATTTGTCCCAGGTGAAAAGGCAGAATGGCACCAATGGATATCCCATGAAGAGCCAGTGGAAGATTTGTTGTGCAATGTACAGGAACGGATACAAGACGGGATTGGAGCATATACTGGTAAGTAGCGGACTGTCCCTCACCAGATCCATCGCCTAAGGAGAAAAGGATGGGGATTACATGGAACTAAGGAATCTACAAAAAGGCAAGGATGGGGAAACGGACATCATGAGACATGCTTATACACTATGTAAAGTAACAATTATATCAGGTCTCTATCACAGGCCTCTCGCTATATTATCTAACACTGAGGGGTAATTCAGCAAATCATGCCAAGCTCTCTGACCTTTCTTTCCACTGTGACAATGAGAAACTCAAGTGCAAAGCACACTAGGTATCCGGAGTGCAAACCGTGCCATATTGCCAGGAAAAACAAGGCAGATCCCTGAGAGATTGCTTTGTTGCCAAGGAAGCGGAGACGTTTAAAAACATATCTATAATAAAATAAAAAAATAAAAAAAAAAGGTTTAAACATAGATTCCCAGAAAAAAAGTGTCAAATGTCACTACAGAGCAGCACTCTATCTCTCAGACAAGTCTCCTAACATCTCACCTAGCAACCCAGTCATTGGTGTTGATGTTGAAGCTGGCAATGGTTCCGGTGAATAAGGGCGTGGTCTCAAAAAGCCACACCTTCATGTTGGCGCATGCATTCCAGTGATGCTGACCCTGTTCATCTTTCCCATTATACCCCAGACCACACAGAATGCAGACCCCTTCCTGATGGGCAGAAAAGGAAGAGAGAAGCAATATAAACGGCAGTGACATGGTCAAAATGCAATAACATGTTTAAAGCACTACCACACCAGGTAGGTAACATCACTCTCATTGGTTACTTACCGTCACCAGCCAGCAGGTCACATATTTATACAGCATTACTTTACCCCAGATTGTCATGTACACACAGCGGTACCAGAAAGGCTGGTTCTGAAAGACATATTGGGGGTGGGGGGAGAAAGAAACAGGAAGTTAGAAAGGAAATATACTGAGGCATTTACAGGATCCAAGCATTCAAAAATCAAAAGTTAAATAAAAAGGTATGGCTTCTCCCACTACAGATTATTACGCCACAAGATAATGTCTCCTCCCACGGTCCCGTGTACAGTTTTTTAAACTGGTAAACAACTTAATAGATGGAAGGAATGGATGATTTCCTTTCATTTTATCAATTATTAAAATGTATTAATTTTTTATGTATTGAATACCATGCCCATTTCCCAGCAGACATGACTGCATTTATTTCCCAGAGAGCATGACAGACTATGTCTGCTCCCAATTCCCAGCAACTATAGGATAAGGTCAGCCTCTACAGACTCTTCATGACAGAATATCATTCAAGATCACTCTTACTCCTACCAATTACAGTGATGCTCACCGCATATTCTTCACTCAGGAAGTAGCTATCCGGAAGGTATGGCCCAAACACTGTGTATATAGTCAAGGTACAGAGTCCAAGGCAAAGCCGCTCCATAGCTGGTCTGATACTACAAAGAAAGAGGACAGGAGTCAGGCAAAATCAACAGGAGATCAATTAAGCCTCCTAATAACTGCCAATCTTACCTGTTCGGCCTTTGCCCTTCGACATCAGTCAGCTCTCCATTCACTAGCTTCAGGTAACTGCACATGGAGAATTGCGGTCCCACTAAGAATCCTCCATAATAATAGGAGAACCCGCAAACCTCGAGAAATGTAGGGGCTCTGGGTACAATGTGACGCTGCTGCTCAGGTGTAAGAGAACTCTGCCAACGAGAGAGATCGAGGTTCATTGACATTGACCAGAAAACCAGTCACAGCACGTGAAATTAACCGCTGTCACTGGGATCCTCAGCACTTTCACATTCTTGGAAATATATTGGGGGAGTGTGTAACTAAGTTGCTGTTCTCTGCATGAAGTGAGATATTGACAGATGGATGTTGGGGGCACTGTAATAGCAGTGATAGTCAACTTAGAAGCTTTAGAGGTGCCACTCTGTGTTGCTTACAAGACAGGCATTAATCCTGGGGCCCATAATTTCCCATGACATCATCTGGATGTACCCTTGCACATAATGCACAAAAACCACATACAATACAGAAGCATTGAGAAGGAAAGAACCACACTTGGAAAGGGATAGCTCACCAAAAAGACTGATGTTAAAGATCAGAAATAGGGGTAAAGAGTGAATACTAAAATGGAACGAGTAGGAACGGAGAAGGAGCAAGTTAAAAGAGATGCAGCCTGGACTGTGAATACTGATGAAGAAAGTAGAGAAACATATACATATATATATATACATATACATATACATATATATATACATATATATATATATATATACATATATATATATATATATATATATATATAAATAAATAAATAAAAGTAGTATGGCACCAAGGGGGTGAAGAAACGTCCAAGCATGAAGATATGAGAGAAGGAAATCAGGGAAGATATGGGAGATGACAATGCAGAAAAGGAAGAGGGATCTAAGAAAATGAGAGTAAAAAATAAATTTTTCTTGGCACCTTTAGTTCAGTTACTTGATTTTTGCTGATTTGGCTCTCGAGCTGAAAAACATTTGTGATCATTGCCCTTTGGTGTCCAATCTCTATGTTATCACCAGTATTACCTGCTGTCACATATCAATATTTAATAAACAGGATTGAATGGGTCAGGGGTCACTGTGCCAAACAGACAAATTACATGTCATGAGACTCACAAGTTACAGGTAACATTACAGAAACAGTAACTGGCTGCTTTCCAGAGATTAGGCAGAACTTGGGCTGTAACAGAAAGAGATCTTTTTGCCTTGGGGCGGAAAATGTTAAACTGGTACAGAGCCAGGACAAGATCTGTTAAACACGATGATTACGGAGCTTCACTTTATCTCAAAGTAAATGCAGGTGAAGCCGAACTTGGAACAGTGACAAATATATGCCGCTACAAACCCACAGGCTTAAACATGCCACTCACCTTGTCTTTTCCTCCATCATAGTAATCGAAAGCAAGACCTAGAGGAATGAGAGGAACAGGGAATGGCACAATATTTATTACGCAGCCTGTAAACCTTAACATTTTTTATTCTGATCAACCACACAGAGCTATGGTCTCCATAAATCCAAATAAAGCTCCCCTACCCATCCATTACTTATTGCTGCTATATAAACCTATCTATTCCTACTCCAGCCAAACCCCTTCACACCAAAACTTATCCCACCATCTTCCTCCTGCCCAGCTGATCTCCCCCGTCCTCACATTCAAACCCTCTACTGTCACCACTGTCCCATATCTCAATCTCTCCAGTATTTCCTCCCACCCACCTCCTCTCCTTACCCTTGCTTCAAAACCCCAGTTTCCCTAAACAAATCCTCTCCTGCCACATTCATTCAACTTCTCTTCAACACAAGCCCTTCACCGATCCATATGCACTACATCCACCAACATCTCCCGCCTCCCATCCACTGTATTCAAAAGGAGCATACCTACCTATAAGCTTGAGTGTGAGTACACAGTGTGGCATTGTCCACTTGATATCATAATTATCCGTGGCTGTGTAGTAGTAACCACAAAGTAGATATGTCTGTGAATACAAAATGCAGACAGATTTTAAATGCTCTAATATTTCATTTGCGTTTATTTCACTTTACATTTAGATTAATTTTACAGATTGTTAACTTGTTCGAAGAGGGCCCTTTTCGCCTACTGTTCCAGTATGTCAAGGTTTTAGTGTTTGTCTTGTTTACCTATTATACAGCGCTGCAGAATATGCTGGCGCTATATAAATCAATCATTTTCATTTTAAGTCAAAACTTTCACAGTGATTTCAAAGATAAAATACAGAACATATTTCAATGACAATGTTACATAGGCTGGCTATGAAAAAAGTAACCAACTTCAGTCAAACACTGGCAAAAGCGGTACAAACATTTGTAAGGTGTGAATCTCTGAAAAATGAAGGTACAACAGTGCAGACATAACATTTTTAGAATGACCTGAAGGCAAAATAAAGGCTAAAATAGACAATCTACTGACGAAATGTGACATTCAGTGAATAAACGCACAAGAGAACAGCAAGGCTTATGGTCTAGAACTATAGAAAACCTGCAGGGAATTACAGTACAGATGTGTGATTTTGCCATAAAAATAACATATGTAACAGATTGGCTACAATCTGAAAATCCTTCGTAAAGTCCCTACGGAGTCAGTGAATAACCCTATGAGTGACCCTATACGGAGACATCTGGTCTAATCTGCGACCTTCTCATTTTGATATGATCATGTTGATATGAGGTCACTTCCTGTGTAGCCAATTAGAAAACAGGACTATGATGGCTCACCTGTATGAGAAACAGCTAACCAACGTCTTTTTATTTTATTAAGAATATTCCACATTATTTCTGGTTTGGGTTATGATTAACAGTAATTGGAGCAACACTTGCCTCTGGCGAGACAATCATTTAATGTTAAACCTGACACTGGTGTTTGCTGTGTTTTATGGGACTGGATTTGATGCAACACGTGATATTCATGTAGAGTTTCCTATAGAGACCTCATACACTTTGTAACTATACAGTGCAGCCACAACGCTGCATCTATATTTAGCGGACAGTCGTAAGCTCTCTTCCTAAGAGTATAAGAAGAGAGTACTCCTCCCACTCCAACTCCTCCCACTCCAATTACAGCCTTCACTGTGCCCAGGTCCCATGTGGCTAAAGGAACAGGAAATCACAAAACCTAAAACGTTTATCACAGGCAAAACTGTAAAGTCAGCTATAGCAGGCAAATAACACCCAAAAATTACAAATGGACGGTATTGTAAAAAAATTATAATACAAAAAAATGCCTGATGATAGAATGATAGGCATTGATAGCACAGATTATGACCATTATATTATGTATTATATATTATCACTTGTTGAGACAGGATTTAATTTAGCTAGGATCCTTACCCATAAATTTTACTCACCATCTGAAAGCAGAAGCTAGTCAATACTGCAGTTATGGTCCTTCCCATGAGCCTCAGCATAAGAAAGTGCAGGACGACGCAAAGTAAGGAATGGTACATCTGAGACCCTACGTAAGGAGACAATAGAAATAGAACATTCCTTTCATATTACGAAGATTTTAATAATGTTTTGTATTATATACACCAGGGCTTGAGAAATTTGTTTAGAATCAAGGAGCCAGCTAAAAACGTTTTTGTTTTTTTTTTAAAACCGGCAAAGTTTAATTTACGAGAAATATACAAATCTTATAGGGACACTATAGTCTAGAACCACTACAGCTTAATGTAGTTGTTCTGGTGCCTATAGCCTGTCCCTGTAGCCTTTTCAATGTAAATGCTGCCTTTTCAGAGAAAAGGCTGTGTTTACATTTTTGTCTAGTAACACCTCTAGTGACAGTCACTCAGACGGCCACTAGAGTCTTGTGTCAGTGCTGCACAGTGTGCAGCGTCTCCACACTCTGGATGGAGGTGCTGAATGTTACCCATAGATAACATGCACAATATCTTCCCAAAGCTTTCCTATAGGAACGCATTGATTTAGCTGAGATCTTAAAGATTGATTCTCAGCCACGAAGGCAGGACAAGCCATGGAAAGCTGGCACGGCGTGGAAAAGAAAACACCTTTCTCGTGATTGGAGGGGTGCCTATACACACACCTATACACGCTTACAGACACACACACAAATTGACATACATACACACACAAATTGACATTTTCCATTTTAATTTTAATTCAGCCAGCCTCCCTACCTTTGGGAGAGCCGAGTGGACTTTCCCTGGGGTCCAGTGGGGCTGCTATTCCTGTGTGCGAGTGAGCAGTGATCTTCCTGCAGCTCCGCTCTGCTCCCTCGCACTGTCTGTAGTGATGCCAGGGCCGGAATGACGTCATATTCTGGCTCCGGGCATCATTACACAGCGTGAGGGAGCAGAGGAGCTGCAGGAAGATCACCGCTTCCTTGCGCGCTGCCCCAGCCTGCCGCCTCCATGAAGCCCAGGGCGGCCGCCTCCAAGATATAAATGGTATGTACACACATTGTTATATACTTTATACACATACACACAATAACATACACAGACATTGTAGACACACACACACTCATACAGACCATACATACACACACACACTGCCTCACATTTACAATGCTATACACACAGTCAGACAAAGTACAAACATTGTAAATAGTTTATTAGTAAATTTGGTAATTTTCTACTTCCAAATGTTCTCATTCTTTTATGTATGTCGTGCCCTGTGATGTCACGCATATATAATTAATTATGCAAATTAGAATGGCCAGTATTTTTTTCAACAAAAGGTGGTAACTGTATCCTCAGGACGGCCGCCTCCAATATCCCCAGGGCAGCCGCCTCCAAACTCTCTGAGCCAGCCACCTCCACACTCCCTAAGATGACCGGCTGGCTCCATTGTTCCCCCATCTCGCCTATAGCTAAAGGGCTTCACATACCAGGTGCCAGGACAAAATTTCTAGTCGCCATGGCACCTGGGATTTGTTGAGCCATACACTATACTTCATGTCAGCACCTGCATATATATTTTAAACCAGCATTAGTGCCCCTTCCCCAATATATATTGTGCCGGTCAGGGTTTCCAGATATCATGCTAGAATATATATACATATATACACACATACACACACTTGCTAGTGTGTGCTTGCCCATATGAAGAGAGTAGCCTTCATGTCTTTTTAGATTCAGAGCTAGGAATTTATCATTTTCCTTATGCCAAGGGACACGGCGAATTTATAACAAACATTGGTGTCTATGGTTGGACCAAGTGTGAAATGTCAGGAATTCAAAGCAAATAATTAAGGCAAGGCCAAAATAGCCATATTAAATCCTTATCGGACTTCCAGTTTAGTTATTTTGGCCTTAATTTTTTTAATTCAACTTGAACTCTCTGCAATTCACCCTTTAGTGAATAACCCGACAGATTCCAAAATAATCTCTGTGCCTGTCAGAGTAGAGAGGGTTAAACACGAAGTGCTATGCAAAATTTGAAAGAGGGCAAAGAGAAAAAAACTTAGCAAGAATAGTTAGGCCATTTAAACAGCTCAGTAATATTTTGCATAAGCAGATTTGCATTTACACAGCGCCTTTTGTTCTTCAGGTAAAACAAAATGGTGCAGTTCTTGCCTTTTATGACAGATCTGCACATTGTGGTGAAGCTGCTTAGAATTGTACAGATCAAAACATATTTGAATAGAAGGTTTTTCATTGAGTTACACGATAAATACTCATAACATGCACAATGGATCTCAAAGCATTGCATTGTGTGCTCAGCCAAAACTCAAATTACACGTGGAAGAAACTCTGAATGTCTCTTTTTCATAGAATTCCAGGATTCCTATTTCTTCACTAAGAACGTCTGCTTAAAAGGACACCAAAATATCTACAGCTTAATGTAGTTGTTCTGGTGGGTATAGTATGTCCCTGCAGGGTTTCTAATGTGCACACTGCCTTTTTCAGTGCCCTGACACAGACATTCATGTAGAAGCTGAGCATTCCCACAGAGATGCATTGATTCATTGCATCTCTATGAGGAGATGCTGACTGGACAGGGCGGCATTTGGCTCTGCCCCCACCTCACATCCTTGGCTGAGATCATCAGAATCGACGATCTCAGCCAATCCAATGCTTTCCTGTGGGAAACGTTGTGCTGCATTGGAATAAAGGTAAGTTTTAACTTATTTAAGGGCGATAAGGGGAGCCAGATACCTCAATAGTGTTTTTAACACTACAGGGTCCTGACCCTATATTGATCCTTTAAAGAGTTACTCCAACTCTTTGTGACTAAACTTTTTTTTTTTTTTTTTTAATGTACAATGTCCTGCATTATTTACTTGCTCCCCTCCCAATTAAAAATAAAATCTCTAAAGAGTTAACTTTTCCGGGAATACTGTTCCAAGCAAAGCTCCCCTCACTGGTCTTCACGCACCATCTGACATCACTCCTTCTCCGGTCCAATGAAACACTCAGAGGAGCATCTGATTGGACAATTCTCACCAGCTCAGACCACATGTGTGTGCTCTGAGGCGGGGTGGGTAGACAGGGAATGTGGAAGGACATTAGGAAAAAAAAAAAAAAAGGCACTGTCATTAAAGGGACATGAATCACTTTGAGACAACAGTCTCATTCAAAAGCGTTAGCTTTGAATGAGACAGTTGCCGAACTCAGCAGTCTGAAACAAAACAGGTAAATATGATTTATTTTTTTATGGTTATCTGTTTTCCTTTCTTATGCTTTCCACACCCAGTCCAGGGGGGAAACTGACCTAACCAATTTGTGTCCTATCCCTAGGAATGCTGAAAAAGTACATTGGGCAGGTCTGACAGATTTACAGTTGTAAGATTGCTTCAGCTTGCTACACCCTGACAGGTGAATGAAGTCTGTTCAGTGTAACCATGCAGAGCAGGCTACGGTGTCTGGTTTCTTGCTCCTGCTGCTACACAATTATGCCTAATTTCTGTCATTAGTGGACTGGTCTGAAACTGAGCTGGGTGGAAAACGGGGGCTGGGGGACGGTTGAAGAAACTCTTCTAGCTTCGGAAATCAATGCAATAGGTTTACAAGCATAACATTCTTTTTAAAGTTTTTGTTGCTTTATCTTGGTTTGTATGTTTGTTTGTTTAACAGTGTTTGCTTGCTGGTTTAAAAAATAATTGGGAGAGGGAGGAAGGGGAGATCCAGGCTAAGCCTTGCAGACGCGTTCCCAGTGCTGTCTGCAATGCTAGAAGCAGATAACTGTAGCCAACGAGCAGTGCACACTGACAACAAAAGTACTTTTTGCACATAATTGATATTAGACAGCCCGAAACTCTGTAATGAGCCCCGGCACAAAAGTGCATTCTCTTTCAAGCACAAAGGCTGCCCTGATAGATTCCTACCACCATAACCACTTCTAAAAGCAGAAGTGCTAATAGTGGATGGAGTCAAATATTTTTATTTTTTTATTTTTTTTGCTCTTATTTCCAGAAGAAATACAAAATCATCAAGTTTGAACTACAGGTAAACAGAAGTGGACACAAAGGTTGTTTTGATCTGTGTTATTTTGGAGGGGTGTACAAGAAGTGCGGTAGCAGCTAAAAGAATTGACAATATTTATTATTACATTACTATCAAATAAGTATATTTAGGGAATATCAAGGATTGTCAGTGTAAAAAATTAAGTGTTGGTGCACATTCTGGTTTTCTACAGCAGTTGTCACTACCTATAAGAATTGTACATACTGTGCAAGTAGGTCTTTCTTCTTCAACTTAAATGAGAAGCAAAGATGAATGTGGCCCTGCCGGGAAAAGATTAAGCAACGTTGAAGTTGGGCTGAGCTCTATAATTACAGTATTACTCAAATAAAGTACACTGCCAGCTCTCACGCCTCTTTACCACCATTCTAAAAATATTAGCCAAGCCCGGATAGATCTAAATAAAATGCATACGATTGTCACCTTCCTTCCGCAAATGGAAAGGGCTAATTAAAGTATGTTTGTTATAGGCTATTTGTAGACGTTCTTTAAGTGGCCACAAGAGGGTGACTGCCAGCAGCTGCACACACTTTGAACCAAGTACTTGGGCTTTGCTCTTTTTCCAGAGTCAGGTGTTACAATGGGAGACGTGCCAGTAGCTGTGTGCCAGTGACTCAGGGTACAGTTGGCACACATACCAGTTTGTTTTAGAAAGTATGTGTGCCCTAAGGTAAGAATTTAATTGTCTTGGTGATTAATCTCTCACAGTCTGACCTGAAAGTGTAATCGCTGAATGAGGGATTGAACCCATTAGACGAGTATTTTTACCATTTACAGAATGCAATAAACCTAGACAACCTAACAAATCGGACTTGTTTTCTCAGATTACGTCACTCATACAAAGAATTGAGTTATTACCCAGCAACACATAACCCCAACATGTGCAAATTTATTGGCCACACATGAGCTGAAAGCCTTGTCGTCTGTCACTGCCTGAAGCTGTTTACCGGATACGCACCAGTCACCAGCAACACCTTGCTCGCCACGCCCCTCAGGCTGCCTGTCCAATTCACAAGGTATTTGCCTTGTGGCCAACTGCTCTGCCAGAGACCTTTTGTTCACGGACACCTGAACAGACCTCAAAGAGGATTCCACATTTCTGCTTTGCTAAATTAATATTATGGATATTCAAAGTGAATTTCGAATGTTAATACAAAATAGCCAAACTAGGAAAATTCTCCAAGTCAGCCATGTGTTCAATTGGACTATTTTGCAATAATATTTGAACTTCAGGAAGTTCACACTTTAGTGAATAACTCTGTTCATATCAACCGAAAGACCTACCGAAATTGAAGTATGCGATACATAGTCCAGTCAGAGTATTAAACAGGTGGTTATGAGACGGCTCCTTCTTAAAGAGAAAGTATCGCTGGAATAAGGCTAAAGGGTATCCTGGGGAGATATGGAGAGACATTAAGATAGTTAGATCACACATTAACTTGACTGTAAACATCCCTAGGAGCCCACAGCCTCCCCGCTAGCCCATCCCATTCCTCTCTGAACAGACTAAACCCTCCTCTGTCCCGTACATTATATTACATAGAAATTTCACACTTTAATGAAAATGATGAAATCAGTGCAGGAATTGAACATTTCAGAAGAGCACTTTCTACAAACCAAGAAATAAACTTTATTAATTGCATGGTGTGCCCGAGCCTTTCATTATGGAGAATTTTGGAAAGCAGAAGGATAGGGGGGCAAAGCGATCCAGGGCTAAAGCACAGACTTTAGGGTTAATCATAACCCATAATGGTAAGAAAGCACCAAGGACCTCCAAGTTGTTATGGTACCCAGAGTGTTCCCTTAATATATGTACATTTAAATCAAACAGTGTCAACATTAGCACTTTACACCTTGCATTACATTACAGGGGATCTACAGTAAGTAAAGTAGTTGATAGACAGTGGTTCTAAGTTTATTGATATAGAAGTAACAGGTGTTCTTAGTAATTTAAAGATTACATTAAAGTAGAGAGAGGGGTGGTTAGTATAGCAGACATACAGTAGATGCAATATGTGTGTAATATATATATATATATACACACACACACACACACACACACAGGTGTACTAAACATTTTGCAGGTTACAATACAGTAGAAGGAGGAACAGTGATTGCAACAGGTACACACTGTATGTATTTATTAAGCAAAGACAGGTGTACTTAGAACATCTATATGCTGGAGTATATGTAGTAGTTATACAGTGTATGTATATTTTAAGAAATCAATATTTGAGTGTACATAGTAGGTTTCACTATGCTAGAAGGGAGGTTAAATATGTGCAGCAGGTATTTCCACTAAAGATCTTCCCACCACATTCCCTCATACTCAGACGCCTCCACACTCACTTCACAATACTCCCACTCTGATCACTCCATACTCACTGTCCCAGTCAAAACCCTCCAGACTCCCAATGAGAGCCCTCATACTTACATTTTCCCACTCAGATCCCCCTATACTCCCACTCAGATCCATCCATACTCACACTCATTTCACAATACTCACATTCTCCCAATCAGATCCCCTCATACGCACTCTCCTACTCAGACCCCTCAAGATACCCACTGTCCCACTCAGATCCCCCCCTCATACCCCCCATACACACGCAGATACCACACCCCATACTCACACTGACCCCCCATACACACTCAGATCCCCCCATACCACTCAGATCCCCCATACTCACACTGTCACACCCCCCTCACCCCCCCCACACACTCAGATCCCCTCACACTCACACTCCCAGATCCCCCCATACTCACTCACACACTCAGATCCCCCTACACAGCCTCCCCCACTCAGATCTCCCCAGACTCACACTCACACAGATCCCCACACTCAGATCCACTCACCATACTCACACTCAGAGATCCCCCCATGATCTCACACTCAGATCCCCAGACACTCAGATCCCCCACACTCACTCACCCCACACTCAGATCACACTCACACCCAGTCACACTCACAGCCCTCACACTCACACCTCACACTGTCACACACTCAGACACTCAGACCCACTCACACTCAGATCCCCTCACACTGTCACACTCAGACAGCCCCCCCACACTCACACTGTCACACTCAGACAGCCACTCATACTCAGATCCCCTCATACTCAGATCCTCTCACACTGTCACACTCACACAGCCCCTGTACTCTCCCCATAGATCTCACACTCACACTCAGAGCCTGTCTCGCACTCACCGATGAAGATGGAAAGGATGAGCCTAAGCGCCGCTTCCGAAGCCCCCAGGGCCTCTGCCACCCCGTGTAACAGGGACCCCCAGGCCGCCGCCATCTTCACGTTCCCTCCGGGCCCCACAGGACTCACAGCAAACACACCGAGGCCACGCCCAGGGGGGAGCCTCTCCGCCCCCAGCCACCCGATAGGCCCAAAACACATGAGGAGGATGAGTGGGCGGGGCCATGGAGCCCGTTACTGTCAATGTCACCTGGGGGCGTGGCTATGTGCGAGCCGTTGTAATAGAAGGGGCGTGTCCACCTCTGAGGTTACTGGCGGTCGATACGTGGTGTGTCAGGACAAGGCAAGTGTCACGTGGTCCAAATGTGGGTCAAAGGTTACAGTAATCCCCTGCATTGCTGGTGACTGGCCCAGTGACCCTTTTTACATATTGTTTGACAGGGAACCAAATAAAGTATAATTCATGGTTATTAACTATCACATTAACCCAGGGGCCCATTCCAGTAACACAGAATTAACATGAAAGAGCACCATAACCACTACAGTCCTTTTTGTGATTCTGGTGCTAATAGACTACAGGCAGAACTCCCCTGGATCTGTGTGAACGAGTTACTACGAGAACCGCAACCATTTCAATGATTTGTAGTGGTCATGGTGCCTGGAGTTTGTATGCGCAGCTTTTCACATTGAGACCATAAAACCCTTTGCTGTCAGAGGTGACACCCCCCCCCGCGTCTGCGTCATAGAGGCGTCACTAGCCAATAAGGAAAATTAGGTCCAGACTGTCTAATATCAATTCTGTGCATATTTCTACACATAGAATTGAACTCATTGGCACAGGACGGTCAACTAACGCTCTCAGTCAATGCATGTCCGGTGCTCTCAGTCAATGCATGTCCGGTAGGTTTTGCTTCTGCACCTCTTTGTATCAACACACAAAGGCCTCCGTAGCTGTTCGGAAACGGCTAAACTTTGGATGCTTTCTCATATAGAGTTGGTGTGGTGTAATTTTAGATTAGTTCTTTAAAAGTCCCTCTGCAGTAAATGTTTGCTCAGTACACTTCCTGCTATAGATCTCCCCAGACTCGAGACACCAGAGAATAAACTCTGGTGGCTTGGCACAGGATCCAGATCTGCACTGTCCCCCAGATCGGGATTCTTGGGAAGTGCGTACGAGACATTGTGATAAAGACTAGGTTCTGCCTGGCAGACATTCCCTGGATGACACAAAGCCAAGAAGGAGATTTCAGCTAATCCTCCCCATAGTATTTGTGCCCTACGGCAGCTGCTCGGTTGTTGTGGTGATGGAAGGTCACATGGCACTGTGCCATAGAGTGCACTGATGATCTTCTCTGCTGTGTGTTACATATGTACCTGTGTGTCTATGCAGGGTTCAGCAAAATGAGAAGTGTCAGGATTTCAAATTTAAAGGGACACTGTAGGCATCAAGACCACTTCAGCTAATTGAAGTGGTCTGGATGCTATGACCCTTTTGTACTTAGTGCTGCAATGTAAAACATTGCAGTTCCAGAGCAATGTTTACATTGCAGTTCTAAGTCTGCCCCAAGTGGCTGTCTAACAGACGGTCACTAAAGGGCTTCCCAGAATCCAAACAGACTTTTGGTCCGTTATCTGATGCTGGACGTCCTCACGGACCTCCAGCGTCAGATTTTCCCCATAGGAAAGCATTGAACAATGCTTTCCTATGGGGAGGTCTAATGCACACACGGCCATTGCCGCGCATGCGCATTAGGTCTCTCCCCGTCGGCTGACGTTGGCAGGGGAGGAGCGTGGAGAAGCCTGACCCAGTGCCGAGTGACATCGGCGCTTGATTCAGATAAGTGACTGAAGGGGTTTTAAACCCTTCAGCCCCGTGGGAGGGAGGCACTCCAGCAGCCTTTAGTGCCAGGAAAAGAGGTTTGTTTTCCTGGCACTATAGGATCCCTTTAAGGCCAAAATAGCCTCTATATGTTCACCCTTTAAATTTGGAATTCTCTCAGAATTCCTGATAATTCTCACTTTGGTAAATTACCCCGTATAACGTACCTCTAACACCAATGTTCAAACATGTCTGTCTTCTTTACTTACAGATCAACTCAGGTTGTCAAGTGGTCGAAGCTCCTCACAGCTGAAATGTGTGTAACCACACCCCCTCACCATTACCTCTCTTAATGCTTTGCCATCCATTCGCTTCTTGGTAACTTTAGTTTTGCAACAGGCGTTAATCTCTGTTTTGGCCTTTTTTAAGTTACAGTTCCTCACGTTGTGAAAAATTCACCATATTTTCTTCACAAATTTATATATAATATGGATCTATCAGTGTGGATTAAAATGCTCAATGATGTCTGTAAGAGAAACACCATAATACTTATTCAATAAAGCAGAGGTGCCCAAAAGGCAGATTCCCAGATGTTGTAGAACTACAATTCCCTTGATGCCCTGCATGCCTTTAGAATGACAAAGCATCATGGAAGATGTAGATTGAAATCTGGGGATCCTAGCACTAAAGTGTGACCTGTTGGGAATTCAAAGTGAATTTCAAATGTTTGGCCTGAATGGCTAAACTGAAAACAGCTAACTTTGCAATTCAGCTATTTGGGACTAAGATTTTCAGTTGATTTTGAATTCCCTTACAAACACATGCACCTACTTAAAGCTCAAATTCCAGTGACAATGCAAAATCAGTGCTCCCTCGCCATGCCAATACCGCCAATAGCCTGAATGAATAGACGCCGCGAGCTGTGCTGAAACTTGGAGGTGAGGGGGGGTGGCTGTAAGCAAGATGCCCATAATCTCCGGCTCTGATCGGGCCTCCCTACTCCAGCCAACAGGGAGGTCAAAAGATCTTCCTTTGCAATTGAGTCCCCTGGAGCAGCCACACAACCGCACGGTTCCACCGCTCTGTGAGAGAGTCAGAACGCTGATGCCTCATTTCCCAGCCTGTGCTCTGACATCATCACAGAGAGCCGGAATGCACACTGGAACACCAGGGACTCCACCACCAGACCACCAGGGAGCCACAGGACCACCAAGTGATGAATTATTGTCCCTCTGAAGGTAAGCAGGAGGGGGTAAATGCAATATGGATATGTGTATACATGTACAACTTTTGTCGCTGACCACCATGTGCCCCCCTAAATACGAATGCTGGAGACGTCACTGACACACATGTCACCGTGGCACACCCTTGTCCTTCCTCAGTTTCATTTTAATGCCCATGATGATGAAAGGTGATGAAACATTTCTCAAACTCACAGCATCCCAGTCTCTTCCAAATGCAAGCAAGCTATGAACTCCAAATCAGGATTAATGTGCCTAATCCTCCCCTATCGCCCCAGGGAGCCTGGGCTGTGTCCTTGTAAAACCCCAAACCTTCTAGAACAACACGTTATTCCTTTTAATATAATGTCTCTAATTCTGTCAGCCCTGGAAAATTACTCCTGCTTATTAATTAATTAATAAAGAAATAATTATAAATAATGATGGAGAGTGTTTATTTTCCAAAATTTTGGTCTGTTTTAATGTTATTTAAATTTTTTGTATGCTGAATAAATATATCAATTTGAATATCTGTGTATTTCAGGATGACAGCTTCGGCCAGTGAAGTTACTGCCTGATTTGGGTGTGAAAGGAAGAGCAGGCTATCGTACTGGATTTGGAAAGCTATGAAAGGTATTCACACCACTCCGTTCCTTGCAGAGATGCTCTGTATGTCATGAGCTGCATTGGGTGATGAGCTGTAAAGCTACATGGATTCGCTTGAAGGGAATTAAAGAGCTACTAAACATTTTTTTTTTAAATTACTTTTGCTTCTTTTCAAATATGTCATGAACAAGATTCTTGATGGTTTACAGGGGATTTACATTTTGCAGAAATAATAGACCTAGACATTTTTCCAATTTAGCTATTTTGTTCTAAGAATTGCAATTGTCAAATCTCCAAAATTCTGCCTGTAGACATTTTTACTATAAGATTATAGGGCTTGTGATAAAAAGTCATCCATGGACAGCTTCTACTGATGGGTTTAAACATAACATGTGGAATGATATCTGGATAGGGTGACTACTAGGTATGCTGCTTATGTGGTGGGCTTGCTCAGAAAAAGTCCTGTCTGAAAAGGGGGCTTATCACCCATATATGAATGTTCCAGGCTGAGTGACCATCCACAATACAGGACTGCACGTACGCAGTGTATCGTTAAACCTGTTGAGCTGAATGTACGTCTAAAAATGCGTGGTACAGGGCTTTCTGGTGTCCTAAAAAGTGGGGCACAAGGGACCCAAAGCAGGGCAGTGAGACTGAATTTGTCACTGTCCCACCCAAAGCTTGGTCGGTAGGGGACATACTCTGGGTCTGGGATTTCATGTAATGGGTGGTTAAAAAAATTAGCTACTTGTTAACATTCCAAAAATTTGAAATTCACCTTGAATTCGAGATGATTGACCTAGTGAAGAATTCAAAAATAGAAGCGGCTCTTAATGATCTGAAGGTGGGTGATTAGGAATGGACTCTAAAATAAGTGCTATTGTGTTAGGCCATTGACCAATATCATTTTAATAAATTCAGTCCTTCTGTGAGCAGTTGTGCTAGCAGACAATGTTTTTTGAAACATATTGCAAAAATTATCTATAGAAATTATTTCTTTAAAGTGCATCTGCATAGAGTTTGCTAATTTGCACACGCAGGCCAACTGTAGCAGCCCTTTGGTATCAATAAAGAAAGGAGAAGAGAGCGTCTGATGGGTGCAGTATTTTATTCATTGCATAGAAGTGTGAAGGAATGCTCTGAACACCACCAACGTCAATATCTTTAGCACCGTGAAAACTATAGACGACATGGAATACAAAATACAATTACTTGCAGAGTTTCACTGAAAGGATTATAAACAGCGTTATACAGTGGAGTTCAGTTACTTGCATACACACAGCGAAATTACATCAAATCACCTTAAAGGACCACTCTAGGCACCCAGACCACTTCAGCTTAATGAAGTGGTCTGGGTGCCAGGTCCTTCTAGGCTTAACCCATTTTTTCATAATTATAGCAGTTTCAGAGAAACTGCTATAATTATGAATGGGTTAAGCCTTCCCCCTAATCCTCTAGTGGCTGTCTCATTGACAGCCACTAGAGGCGCTTGCGTGCTTCTCACTGTGAAAATCACAGTGAGAGCACGCCAGCGTCCATAGGAAAGCATTGTAAATGCTTTCCTATGAGACCGGCTGAATGCGCGCGCAGCTCTTGCCGCGCGTGCGCATTCAGCCGGCGGGGCGTAACGGAGGCGGAGAGGAGGAGGAGAGCTCTCCGCCCAGCGCTGGAAAAAGGTAAGATTTTTACCCCTTTCCCCCTTCCAGAGCCGGGCGGGAGGGGGTCCCTGAGGGTGGGGGCACCCTCAGGGCACTATAGTGCCAGGAAAACGAGTATGTTTTCCTGGCACTATAGTGGTCCTTTAATGGAAACGACATATAATACTCATATGTACAGAGTTACGAACACAGTGCTTCGTAAACAAACATTGAATAAGATACAATATATCTTAACGTTAACAACATGAACGCAATTAATACTGATAACATATACTTTTACGGCGTACCTTGCTCCATTTGCCAAGGGGTGCAACTTGAAACTTTAGAATATTAACATCGATCGCCTTCCCACGAGGTACTGCTGGCTTGCTTGGCAACTAAACACTGTGTCACAGAGAGCGTTTACCGCCAGATCTAGTGGAAGGATGGACTACTTGCTTGTCCAAGTTCCGGGGCAACGACTCTGGTGACGTCAGTGCGGAACAACAATTTAAATTCACTGGCGGACACTTACACCAACATCTTTAGATAGTAAAAAAAAAAAAAAAAATAGATGAAGGAAGGAATTGTGGAGGTAAATCTACCCCCACTATCTTTAGATCGTATGCTAATTTTTTTTTCCTTCAATGAGGGAACTAATTTAACTTCCTCATTGTAAATATGGGGTTCAGCGAAAGCCTAACACAGTACATTTCTGCATTCTATGTGTGTATTTCAATGCTTTAGCGAGTAGATACACTTTGCTATCTCTGCTGGAGCACTGAAAGGGTTTATTGAGTCAGTACTAAACAGATTGCTCATGCTTAGTGAGGGTTTACGGATTAGACAGATTTTTATGGGCGTTAGGAGTTTAGATTTGTTTAATGGGACACTATAGTCACCTGAACAACTTTAGCTTAATGAAGAAGTTTTGGTGTATAGAACATGCCCCTGCAGCCTCACTGCTCAATCCTCTTCCATTTAGGAGTTAAATCCCTTTGTTTATGAACCCTAGTCACACCTCCCTGCATGTGACTTGCACAGCCTTCCATAAACACTTCCTGTAAAGAGAGCCCTATTTAGGCTTTCTTTATTGCAAGTTCTGTTTAATTAAGATTTTCTTATCCCCTGCTATGTTAATAGCTTGCTAGACCTTGCAAGAGCCTCCAGTATTTGATTAAAGTTCAATTTAGAGATTGAGATACAATTATTTAAGGTAAATTACATCTGTTTGAAAGTGAAACCATTTTTTTTTTCATGCAGGCTCTGTCAATCGTAGCCAGGGGAGGTGTGGCTAGGCCTGCATAAACAGAAACAACGTGATTTAAAGGACCACTCTAGGCACCCAGACCACTTCAGCTTAATGAAGTGGTCTGGGTGCCAGGTCCAGCTAGGGTTTACCCATTTTTTCATAAACATAGCAGTTTCAGAGAAACTGCTATGTTTATGAATGGGTTAAGCCTTCCCCTATTTCCTCTAGTGGCTGTCTCATTGACAGCCACTAGAGGCGCTTGCGTGCTTCTCACTGGGATTTTCACAGTGAGAGCACGCCAGCGTCAATAGGAAAGCATTGATAATGCTTTCCTATGTGACCGGCTGAATCTTGGCGCAGCTGCAGCGTGCGCATTCAGCCGACGGGGAGGAGAAGAGGAGGATGGAGGAGGAGGCTCCCGCCCAGCTGGAAAAAGGTAAGTTTTAACCCCTTTCCCCTTTCCAGAGCCGGGCGGGAGGGGGTCCCTGAGGGTGGGGGCACCCTCAGGGCACTATAGTGCCAGGAAAACGAGTATGTTTTCCTGGCACTATAGTGGTCCTTTAACTCCTAAATGACAGTGAATTAAGCAGTGAAATTGCAGGGGAATGATCTATACACTAAAACTGCTTTATATAGCTAAAGTAATTTAGGTGACTATAGTGTTCCTTTAACAAAGATTATAGGAAAGTAGAGCATCTATAGGAAGTTTATATATTACATTTCTCACAGTATATTTTAATAAATAAATTGATAACTTTTTAGTTCATTATTTCTAGTAGTTTACAAGTGTTTTTAACTGGTTGTAAGGTGCTGTTTTCAATTAAAGTTTCTACATTTATCCTAAAACTCAATAGGAAAGCTACTATATAGCCGTGACGTTCTTGTCAATTTATTTTAACAGGAGTTTATTCGATATGTACAATGGTGTGGCTGCTGTGAAATTAGTAATAGTGCATGCTTTTATGAAAGCATAGTTACCAACTGTCCCATTTTGCCAGGACAGTCCCACTTTTTTGACCCCTGCCCCGGAAAAAGCAAGTCTTAATACCTGTCCCAGGTTTCAAAATTTGCCCAGCAGTTACAATTTTCAGTCTGTATTATTTAAAGGAACACTATAGGATCAGGAACCCAAACATGTATTGCTGACCCTAAAGTGTTAAAACCAAGGTCTAGCCCTGTCTGCCCCCACACCTTTCCCCTAAATATAGTAAACTATTACTTTGGTTCAAGTCTGCAGCTGCTGACTCTGCCCCTGATCTGCCTGCTTGGCTGACATCATCAGAAGTTATTCTCTGAGCTATCACAATGCTTTCCCATAGGATTGGCTGAGACTGTCAAGGAGGCAGATCAGTAGCAGAGGAAGCACATGTCAAACACAGCCCTGGCCAATCAGCATCTCCTCATGAAGATGAATTAAATCAATATATCTCTATGAGGAAAGTGCAGTGTCTGCATGCAGAGTGTGGAAACACTGAACTGCTCACTGTGCAGCACAGCCCCAGGTAGCACCTGTAGTAGCCATCTGAGGAGTGGTCAGTGGAGGCATCCCTAGGCTGTAATGTACACACTGCATTTTCTCTGAAAAGACCGTGTTTACTACAAAAAGCTTGAAGGGAGTGATTCTACTCACCAGAACAAATATAATAAACTGTAGTTGTTCTGGTGACTATAGTGTCCCTTTAATGTCCGTTACAGCAATAAATGTGACAAAGTTGGCAAGTATTTTTGTTACCCAAGGGATGTGGCTCTGGCTGCTTCACAGATGTTTAACCTGTTAGGGGAAGTAGATCATTTTATAAGGTACACAGACCCAGAGGTTGTGCTATGTACAAGTCAATAGGTTCCTGTAATTCTCAGGATTTTTCATATCATGTTTATTGATCCCTATATATAAAAACCATGTATTTGTGCGATGTGATATGGAAATCTCTTTATTCTGCAATGGGTGCCATGATCTTGACTCCATGTCAATCATTGTTGCCTAGGGCAGCACAAAACCAGGATACACCACTGCAGGAGACACAGGTAAACATGACACTGTAATATGCCTAGGGTGGAGGGATTAGTGAAGCTAGCGCTTACATGAAAGCTCCTAACAAATGGCCATCGTGTGTGCAAGTATAACGGCAGGGTGTAAGGTATTCGCCTCACTCAAATTTTATGGCAGCTATCACAAAAGTAGAAGATAAAGGACTATAATCCATAAAAAAAAAAGAACCAGAAGGTAAAAAAGAAATATAATACAGTTAAACAGTCATAAAATAAGAGAAACTGTTAAACAATTCATGGTGGTGGGAAGCTGAGTACCCCTAGGGGTGAACAGGAATCTCCTCCCGCCAGGTTGGGGTTCTTCAGGTGTTTTTTTCCAGGAATGTGTTCTGAGTCACTTGAGGTATGGACTGCACACTGCCGAAGGGTTCAGATGGGATAGGCCTGTCCCATTCGCTGTCTGTGGCCTCAGCAGGTCCAGCTCGCGTAGGTGGGAGTCTAGCTCTTGCGGGCTGCAAGCCCAATGGGCAGCCCTTGGTGCGTGAATAGTAGAATCCTAGGTGTCACCCAGTGGTAGAGAATATTCTTGGAATGGAATTGTTGTAATAGTTTTTGCAATGTTTTCCACCAGACGAGAACATTCCTTGTCAGGTCCGGGAACAGTAGCAAATTCGCACCTTCAAATGTGAACAGAGTTTGAAAACGAATAATAATGTCTGTGGTGGTGGTGAGAGGTGCATTCGCTGGTTTCAGCCAAAACATTCCATCCAGCCTCACCATTTTCGCCTATAATCCCAAGAACAGAATATTGAGTTAGGCACCTGATAAAGTGCGAAAGGTCAGAGAGGCCTACAGTCTCCGGGACCCCAGAATTGTAGGATTTTATCTCCGTCTCTAATCCTCTATTGCTTCAATCTTCTCAACTATGTTAAGTTGCTGCTGCTGCTGCTGCTGCTGCTGCTGCTGCTGCTGGAGGTCTGCAACCTTCTGTTCTACAGAGGTAAGCCAGGTGTCTTGTGTACTTGCTGAGGCCTCTAATAGTGTGAGCCTCATGGCAGCAACTTCAACAGCATCTTTGAAGTAGGCCATGTCAGCATTATTATTCTGACGAAGTTCGGCCAACATGTGTTTCAGCAGGTCCACCGTAACCGGTTTTCTAGCCGCTGCTGCTTTAGCCTTGTGCCCAGGTGGTGGACCCAGGGATGCCTCTTCTCCGGGATCAAAGGACACGTCCTCAGATGTCCTCTTCTCCCTCAGCATCATTTTCTCTCACACTCCTCTGCTAGCACCATAAGAGATTGCCGATATCTAGGCTAGTGAGGCCCTTATCAGCCCTGAGTTTTTTTCCTTTCTTGCCCATCGGTACTTCCAATGTCGGGACAAGGTTTTACAAAAATGTGAGAACCCAAATTCCAAAAAACAATTGTGTACACCGTTGGGTTAAATACAGCGCTCATGCGCTCAAGTATTTGATCCCCTGCTGATTTTTAACGTTTGTCCACTGACAAAGAAATAATCAGTCTATAATTTTAATGATAGGTGTATTTTAACAGCGAGCGACAGAATCACAAAACAAAATATTGATGTGCATGTCAATGAGTGAAATAAGTATTTGATCCCCTATCAATCAGCAAGATTTCTGGCTCCCAGGTGTCTTTTATACTCTCCACCATGGCCAAGACCAAAGAGCTGTCCGAGGATTTCAGGGACAGGATTATAGACCTACACAAGGCTGGAATGGGCTACAAGACCATCGCCAAGCAGCTTGGTGAGAAGGTGACAACAGTTGGTGTGATTATTCGCAAATGGAATAAAAACACAAAATACCTGTCAGTGTCCCTCGGTCTGATGCTCCATGCAAGATCTCACCTTGTGGAGTTTTAATGATCATGAGAACAATGAGGAATCAGCCCAGAACTACATGGGAGGATCTTGTTAATAATCTCAAGGCAGCTGGGACTATAGTCACCAAGAAACCAATTGGTAACACACTACGCCGTGAAGAACTGAAATCCTGCAGCGCCCGAAGGTCCCCCTGCTCAAGAACGCATATGTACAGGCCCTTCTAATGTTTGCCAACATCTGAATGATTCAGAGGAGAACTGGGTGAAAGTGTTGTGATCAGATGAGACCAAAATTGAGCTCTTTGGCATTAACTCAACTCGCTGTGTTTGGAGGAGGAGGAATGCTGCTTATGGGGTTGCGACAACTTTGTTTTCTTGGCACTAAAGTTTCCCTTTAATAATATAATGGTTATTTACCAGTGAAAATTAAAGTGAAACTTGTAGGGAATTCAGAGTGAAGTTCAAATTTAAACTCAAAGTTTCTGAAAGTAAAGCATAACTGACTTGTAGAAGTTATCCAGTTTGCCCACTTTGGCCTTAAATTTGAAACCCAACCTTGAATTGTCTTTGAATGTCCCACAATTCTCACTTTAGTAAATAACCCTGCGTGTTTATTTATTCCCTGTATTCCTTATTATTGACTCACCACATTTCCGATACTAATAATTCTTACAAGTTTTATACTTCTTGCTATCACCACTTGATCTACATCTAGAAGTGTGTATTAAACATTATTACCCCAATATATCAATATGAAGACCCTTCTTTGGGCTGTCACTACTTAATTGGTTATTCTTAGAACATACACTGATTAAATATGGATTTCATTCATAATCTAAGATTTATATACGATCTACCATCTTGCCTTTTCTCTTTCAATAAGAGTACATCTATTATACGAATTTCCTTACGATTATTTAATTGTTTGGGCTAACAATCGTAAAGATACCAGTTCACAATAGGTTAATCTATTTCGGTTACGTCATCCCTGCACCTTAGCCTGATTGGTTGAATCAGCATCCAACCCAAGCTAAGGGCCGGGTATTTAAACCTCTGGTATTTTTAAATTTGTTTCCCCTGGAAGAGCCACTATTTGTCGAAACGCGCGTCGGGACAGATTGAGCAGTGGTTGGCAGTGAGACTAGGGAAGATGCTGCAGCTATTTTCTAAGATTTGGACAAGCCACCACGCTGTGATTTTAGCATAAGATCTTTACTTATATTTATTCTCCTTTATATTTTTTGTTGCTGTGGGTGAGCAGGAAAGGGGTTTGTTTCATTTTATGTTATACGTGTCTGGGACTCCGGGAGGCTTGGAGGTTTAGACTTTTTTAAGGGGTGCCCTCGAAAGCACGCTAGGGCATAGATATTGGCTATCTTCAGTCCTTTCCCTGTTCATACTCCTACTTTCATAGCATTTACCCTCTATCTGCGATTTTGCAGTCCGTACTCATTCCCTCCCCTGCCCCCCCCCCCTTTTTTTCAGCAATATCCACTTTTTGGTTACTTTTCTCTTTGTTAGCACCATTTATTATCTTTAGCATTTAAGACTTATTTGTAACTACTTTCAAAACCCACACGTGTTGTTGCTTTTTTTTATAGTATAATCATTAAAGGTTATTTGTTTAATCATTTACTTATGGGTTGCTTCTCCATCTCTATAGGTCAAGCTCGTGAAGTTTGAAATAGTCTCTACCTTCGATCCTCCTCTTGTTTTCGTTTTCATTTTCATTATGGCATGTTACTACTAGCTGTGTTATTCTCTTGTGGAATGCTACAAAACGAGATTAAAAAATAAAATAAAAATTTAAAGCCATAATTAAATTGTTTTTTTAAAATGTAGCATTACATGAAAAAAAAAAGAGTTTAAAACAAGCTTTAGGTCAGAGGGGAGGGGGGAACCTTCAGCCCTCCAGATGTTATGGACTACATCTCCCTTGATGCTTTGCTAACATTATGGCTCTAAGAGTATTATGGGAGATGTAGTCCAAAACTTCTGGAGGGCCGAAGGTTCCCCACACCTGCTTCAGGTGATTTTAAATGTTTTATTTGGTGGTGTAATTTCTGGAGACACGGTTTGCCTTTAAACCAGCTTATTAATTGGCTTCTCTGCTGTTGACAGTACAGTAATAGTTGTTTGATATTGGCAATTATGCCTGCTATCATGTTAAACTCTTTGAATTTGTTTCTTAATGTGACTTGAAATTTCAAATCATAATTTATTTGTAGTGGCAGTTGCCTGAATGAACTCTAGGAGGAGCCATTGCATCATTAATTCATTCACGGATCATTTAAAAAAAAAAAAAGAAAAGAGAAAAAGGAGCAAAAATATACTTTTTTTCCTGTGTAGCAATTACGAAATTGCTAAGAAACGTTAGATGGGTCTCTCTAAACGACAGAACAAAGAAAAGAACAAATCAGTTCTATCAGTAGACAGTAAGTGAGTTGTCATAATGAGACAGGAAAATACAGTAGATCACAGTGAGATGTGTGCATCAGACTCACAGTGAGTGAGCTCAGTTGCACTTGTTATGTCTCTAGATACCTGTATGTTTTGTTTGTGCTTTGTACAGCTGTGTGAGATTTGTTGACAATGGCTTTATGTTTGTCAGCTAATGGTAATGATGTGGCTCAGTATGAGACAGGTGGATCACGCAAGTATGAGTGACAGAGAATCACGTTTCAGAGAAAGTGGAAGCGAGACAGATGTGGAATGTGTGTTTACAATTTATAGAAATACTGTGGTGAGTATTGTAGATATGCGAGTATAAATGAGCTGTGTGTATAGCTGGGTGATGAATATCATTGGGCTGCGAGTATCGCTGGGCTGTGAGTATGGCTGGGCGATGAGTATCATTTGGCTGTGAGTATCGCTGCACAGAGAGTATGGCTGGGCTGTGAGTATCATTTGGCTGTGAGTATCGCTGCACAGTGAGTATGGCTAGGCTGTGAGTATCATTGGGCTGTGAGTAACGGGCGATGAGTATCATAGGGCTGCGAGTATCGCTGCACAGTGAGTATGGCTGGGTGATGAGAATCATTGGGATGCGAGTATGGCTGGGCTGTGAGTAGCGCTGGGTGATGAGTATCACTGGGCTGTGAGTATCGCTGGGCGATCAGTATCATTGGGCTGCGAGTATCGCTGGTCTGAGTATGGCTGGGCGATCAGTATCATTGGGCTGTGAGTATTGCTGGTCTGTGAGTATGGGTGGGTGATGAGTATCATTGAGCTGCGAGTATGGCTGGGCTGTGAGTAGCGCTGGGTGATGAGTATCGTTGGGCTGTGAGTATCACTGGGCCGTGAGTATCGTTGGGCTGCGAGTATCGCTGGTCTGTGAGTATGGCTGGGCGATCAGTATCATTGGGCTGTGAGTATTGCTGGGCTGTGAGTATGGCTGGGTGATGAGTATCATTGGGCTGCGAGTATGGCTGGGCTGTAAGTACCGCTGGGTGATGAGTATCGTTGGGCTGTGAGTATCACTGGGCCGTGAGTATCGCTGGGCGATCAGTATCATTGGGCTGCAAGTATTGCTGGGCTGTAAGTACCGCTGGGTGATGAGTATCGCTGGGCTGTGAGTATGGCTGGGTGATGAGTATCATTTGGCTGCGAGTATTGCTGGGCTGTGAGTATGGCTGGGCAATAAGTATCATTGGGCCGCAAGTATCACTGGGCTGTGAGTATGGCTGGGCGATGAGTATCATTGGGCTGCGAGTATTGCTGGGTGATGAGTATTATTGGGCCGTGAGTATCGGGCTGTGGTATGGCTGGGCGATGAGTATCATTGGGCTGCGAGTATTGCTGGGTGATGAGTATTATTGGGCCGTGAGTATCGCTGGGCTGTGGGTATGGCTGGGCGATGAGTATCATTGGGCTGCGAGTATCGCTGGGCTGTGGGTATGGCTGGGCGATGAGGTGATGAGTATCATTGGGATGAGATCATCACAAGCATGAGTATTGTTGATGATGTGTACATCACTGCAGCAGTGGGATGTGAGTATTAGGAGTATTTGAGCATAGCTTACTTTATTATTTACTCAGGGATGAATGGGTGTGATGGACAACTGTCTAAGGTAACAACGTATGTTCCTCTAGACCGTAAACCGGTCTGAACAGGCTCCTCATCTACCTATTGTTTCTGTAACATTTTTTAATTGTCTCATTTATTTTTTCAAGCTTTCATAATATTGGAAAGCGCTGTGGAATACGTTGGCGCTATATAAATATTAATAAAAATAATAATTTTGGGTGAATTAGCAGAATGTTAATATTGGCTGTAACATACAAAATATGTATCAAGATAGTCATTGTGACTAATGTTGCTAGCTGTTAGAAGGTGTGTGTGTATATATATATATATATATAGAAAGAGCGAGAAACAGATTGATAATCGGTACCAGGTTTTTAACTCCCCTTCTCCCCCCCTCTCATTTATGGGAAATCAGCTGATTTTCATGAAACATATCACAGTTCCAGACTCTTATGAAATCCTGGACTTTTCCTGGGCAGTCTGCCCAAATCCTAAACTAGTCTCATCTGAAACCATAGCCTTGAGAAGGGTCCTGATCATCTTCAAACCAAACATCAGGGGTGCCCCACCCGTTCTAATACCCAAACAAGCTGCTTCCCTTCCTCCAGCTCCCCTCTATCTTGCTGAATCCAGTGGGGGTTCATAGCAAGGTTTAATACAGAAATAAAACATGTTTTTGTTGTAGATCTATATCATAGTCCAAAATCCAAGGGATGGTTTATTTACTTGTTAAATGTCTGCCTTGTGTGTTACTCCCCCTCCTCTATCTCTCTCTCTCTCTCTCTCTCTCTCTCTTTCTCTTTATCCCTCTCTCTCTTAAACACACACTTTCCTCTGAGTGCTGACTGATCTGTGTATCCTCTCTCTGTCTCTGTCGCTCAGATTCTCACTCTCTTGTGAGTAAGAACTGATCTGTGTATCTGTTTTTTTCTGTGAGTAATCTGATCTGTGTATTCCCTAAATATTACAGTCACTCTTCTGTGTGTAAAGTCTAATTTATGTAACCTGTGTCGCTCTCATACACCCCCTCCTTTGAGTAAGGGTTAATCTATGTCTCTTTTCTCTCAGCGTCTCACATACAGAGTCTGCTTTGGACAAAGAATCCACCTGAGTGATGGGCCACAGGTGAGTTTTAGAATATTTAATCATGTTCCGTTTTGAGTCTGATATGTTCTGTGCTTCAGAGTTTGTGCCTAGGAGCAATTTGAACTTGTGTATGGAGGGGTGAGGAATAACCGTATCCGCATATTGGACATATATTCATTTTACAGTGGGTCTGTCACATAAAAAGGGTCTAATAGATGGAATAATTTGCTATCAGCAATTCAGTGTGCACCATGGACAATGTCCCAAATCCAACTAACAGTCCCAATTTTGGACCCTTGACATGTCATCTTAAGTATTTTCTCTGGTGTCCTACATCTGGGGACAGTAGAGATAGTGCCTATATAGTGTCAGTGTATCCTTCACCCTGAACAAGGACCTTGTCTTCATACCAGAAAACGTCACCATCACTCTACATGAAGAATACCGACTGTTTGTCCTGCTTCCTGACTTTTATCCTCATGTGCATAACACACTGATTTCATAGCCACATGCCTCACCAGCTAGACACAGTGCATCACTGGCCCACACCAACCTATCCCAGCTTGTCAAATTTGGCAAGCAAACAAACACAGCCATTGGGATAATCTCGTGTCTTCTAATGTTGTTTTGTTCACGCTTTTTTCATCCCATAATACTTCCTTGCAAATACTGAGCTATCCCGTCTCAAGTAAGTACTTATTTTGTGTATTTTTATACCTTGGTTATAAAATCTGGAGGTGTTTCCAGACAGAACTTTTAATGTGATTGATGCCATATGGGGTGTAGCCTTATTCTTTGTAATTAAGATGCAACATTTTCTCACAACTTTAAATCAAAGAGGTCCCATGTGGTTTGCTAAGTGCTGAATAGCTAAATTGTGATTGGTAGGATCACTAAGCAGGGGAGGGTCAGATCGAAGTCCCAGAGATACTGATTCCTCTGTGCTTCCGTTAGACATCATTCTTCTTCTGTTTGGATAAAGGATGTGTAAGATGTGTAGGGGTGGGGTTTTTTTGGTGGGGGGAGAAATTTGACACACACAACTCACAGCGATAGTTTAGAATAAAAAACTTGTTTCACAAAAATAAAATGATTTGGTTTCTAAGACTGCATAAATGTGTCAATAATTTTAATAACTCACAGATTGTGAATGTAGTACACTTGTCAGGATAACTCTGCACATATTTATAAGTTTTCCTCAGGTAAGAAATATTAATTTATAATGTCTTTGACGGGTGACCAGAAAATTTGTTGTCTCTAAAGTCCTGTCTCTTTTCCCAGAGTCTGGCTCTTGCTCATCCTCCTGGGGGGTGTTTCTTCAGAGGCCCCCACTATGTATGGAGAGATCACTTCACCCAATTATCCTCAGGGCTATCCCAACAATGCCCAGAATTCCTGGGAGATCACTGTTCCAAAAGGATTCGGAATCAAAATCTACTTCCTGCACTTGGACATTGAGCCATCGGAAAACTGCGAGTATGACTTTGTACAGGTAATATCACTTCAGGAAACAGGATAGGAGTGTACATAGTATGGATGGGAGTATACATAGTATGGATGGCATTTTACATAGTATTGATAAGAGTATGCATAGCATGAGTGGGAGTATGATTAGTATGGAGGATGGGAGTGTACATAGTATGGATGGGAGTGTACATAGTATGGATGGGAGTGTACATAGTATGGATGGGAGTGTACATAGTATGGATGGGAGTATACATAGTATGGATGGGAGTATACATAGTATGGATGGCATTTTACATAGTATTGATAAGAGTATGCATAGCATGAGTGGGAGTATGATTAGTATGGAGGATGGGAGTGTACATAGTATGGTGGTTGGATGTTATCTCTTTGGTAAAAGAGGGAGCTGATATGAAATGGGATATGTTATGCTTCAATTAAAAGAATATGAATAGAAATAAATAGTAACCAAGGAATTATATATAGTACGGGAGAGAGTATTAATTGTATCTAGTCAATAAACACTGAATGGAAGGAAGGATGCTTAGTATGAGATAGAGTATATTAGGTGTGGAAGTGATTTAGTATAATAGGATGTATACATGACCTGGGAAAGAACATACCTGGTGTGGAGCTGATATACATAGTATGGCAGGGGGTTTATAAAAAAATCAGAGTTTGTTATAAAGGAGAGAGTATACATGGTATTAGACTAGTATACACAGTAAGGCAGTTTGTGTACATGGTATGAGATTAGTTTACACGGTAAGGCAATGTGTGTACATGGTATGGGATTAGTTTACACGGTAAAGCAATGTGTGTACATGGTATGGGATTAGTTTACACAGTAAGGCAATGTGTGTACATGGTATGGGATTAGTTTACACAGTAAGGCAATGTGTGTACATGGTATGGGATTAGCTTACACAGTAAGGCAATGTGTGTACATGGTATGGGATTAGTTTACACAATAAGACAGTGTGTGCACATGGTATGGGATTAGTTTACACAATAAAGCAGTGTGTACATGGTTTGGGATTAGTTTACACAGTAAGGAAATGTGTGTGTATGGTATGGGGTTAGTTTACACAATAAGACAGTGTGTGCACATGGTATGGGCTTAGTTTACACAATAAGGCATTGTGTGCACATGGTATGGGATTAGTTTACACAGTAAGGCAATGTGTGTACATGGTATGGGATTAGTTTACACGGTAATGCAATGTGTGTACATGGTATGGGATTAGTTTACACAGTAAGGCAATGTGTGTACATGGTATGGGATTAGTTTACACAGTAAGGCAATGTGTGTACATGGTATGGGATTAGCTTACACAGTAAGGCAATGTGTGTACATGGTATGGGATTAGTTTACACAGTAAGGCAATGTGTGTACATGGTATGGGATTAGTTTACACAGTAAGGCAATGTGTGTACATGGTATGGGATTAGTTTACACAGTAAGGCAATGTGTGTACATGGTATGGGATTAGCTTACACAGTAAGGCAATGTGTGTACATGGTATGGGATTAGTTTACACAATAAGACAGTGTGTGCACATGGTATGGGATTAGTTTACACAATAAAGCAGTGTGTACATGGTTTGGGATTAGTTTACACAGTAAGGAAATGTGTGTGTATGGTATGGGGTTAGTTTACACAATAAGACAGTGTGTGCACATGGTATGGGCTTAGTTTACACAATAAGGCAGTGTGTGCACATGGTATGGGATTAGTTTACACAGTAAGGCAATGTGTGTACATGGTATGGGATTAGTTTACACGGTAATGCAATGTGTGTACATGGTATGGGATTAGTTTACACAGTAAGGCAATGTGTGTACATGGTATGGGATTAGTTTACACAGTAAGGCAATGTGTGTACATGGTATGGGATTAGTTTACACAGTAAGGCAATGTGTGTACATGGTATGGGATTAGTTTACACAATAAAACAGTGTGTGCACATGGTATGGGATTAGTTTACACAATAAAGCAGTGTGTACATGGTTTGGGATTAGTTTACACAGTAAGGAAATGTGTGTGTATGGTATGGGGTTAGTTTACACAATAAGACAGTGTGTGCACATGGTATGGGCTTAGTTTACACAATAAGGCAGTGTGTGCACATGGTATGGGATTAGTTTACACAATAAGGCAGTGTGTACATGGTTTGGGATTAGTTTACACAGTAAGGAAATGTGTGTGTATGGTATGGGGTTAGTTTATACCGTAAGGCAATATGTGTATGTGGTATGGGGTTAGTTTATACCGTAAGGCAGTGTATGTACATTGTATGGGATTAGTTTACACAGTAAGGCAATGTGTGTACATGGTATGGAATTAGTTTACTCAGTAAGGCAGTGTGTGTACATGTTATGGGATTAGTTTACTCAGTAAGGTAGTGTGTGTACATGTTATGGGATTAGTTTACAAAGTAAGGAAATATGTGTATATGGTATTGGGTTAGTTTACACAGTAAGGAAATGTGTGTATATGGTTTGGGGCTAGTTTATACCGTAAGGCAGTATATGTACATTGTATGGGATAAATTTACACAGTAAGGCAGTGAGTGTTCATGGTATGGGATTAGTTTAAACAGTAAGGAAATGTGTGTATATGGTATGGGCAGAGTTTACACAGTAAAGCAGTGTGTGTACATGGTATTGGCGGCGTTTACACAGTAAGAGAGTGTGTACTTGATATTGGAGGTCGTTTATAAAATAAGGGAGATAGTATATATGTTGTGGGAGAGAGTAATCATAAATCTTGACGGAATATGTTATATGTGAGATATACGTTTTTTCAGTTTATTTCTCCTCTGTAGATCATTGTTGGTGATCAGGTAGAAGGGAAGTTCTGTGGTCGTAAAACTGATCCTTCTCTGCCATCCATCCCTGTACATGAGCTTTATTTCCCAACCAACAACCTGACACTTCAATTTACATCTGACTTCTCCAATGAAGAGAGATACACTGGTTTCTCAGCACACTACATTGCCATGGGTGTGTAATATTTAACTTGTGCCTGATATATGTTCATGTGATTTATAGTAGCTTGTCCTGAAACAGTCCTCGGGCACCATCAAGAGGCTTTATTAACATCCCCATTGCAATAGAAAAGAGAACTTCCTATACCATCATAAATTATTTCTCATTGTTGATAGCCGCTCTTTTCTATTTGCCCCTAATTACTACCCCCTCTCAGCAACTACGTCTCCTTCCAATGCCTTATACAATATTTGCTAAAATATCTCTCTTCAGTTGGCCATTACACTTTTTTCTTTTGTTTTGTTTTACTGTCATCCCCAGCACTTACTCTCCCTATGCCTCTAATCTCTAATGTCAACCTTGGCCCTCCAATGGCTCTTGCTTTCTTTCCCCATACTATTTGAAGTTTACCAGTGTCTCCTACAGCGCTACAGAATGTGTAGGTGCTTTTTCAATAAGGTTTAATAATAATAATGTCTATTTGTCTTCTTCCTCCCTCCCTCAACATGTCTCTCTATTCATCTGTCTTACCCATTTTTGTCTTTCTCAGATGTGGATGAGTGTGACGAATCCTCCGAAATAGAGTGCTCTCACTTCTGCAACAATTATATTGGGGGCTATTTCTGTTCCTGCCACCCAGGGTATTTCCTGCACCCAAACAACCATACTTGTGGAGGTAGGTTATCTCCTGTGTGGAGTGTTTTTGAACCGGGAGTCAGATTATTTCCATAGGTATAGTTACATAGTTACATAGTTACATAGTTACATAGCTGAAAAGAGACTTGCGTCCATCAAGTTCAGCCTACCTCACATTTGTTATTTGCTGTTGATCCAAAAGAAGGCAAAAAAACCCAGTTTGAAGCACAATTTTGCAACAAGCTAGGAAAAAAATTCCTTCTTGACCCCAGAATGGCAGTCAGATTTATCCTTGGATCAAGCAGTTATTACCCTACATTGAAAGATTATATCCTTGAATATTCTGTTCTTGCAAGTATGCATCTAGTAGCCGTTTGAACATCTGTATGGACTCTGATAAAACCACTTCCTCAGGCAGAGAATTCCACATCCTGATTGTTCTTACAGTAAAAAAACCTTTCCTTTGCCTTAGACGAAATCTTCTTTCTTCCAGTCTAAACTCATGACCTCGTGTCCTATGTAAAGTCCGGTTTGTGAATAGATTTCCACACAATGGTTTGTATTGGCCCCGAATATATTTGTATAATGTTATCATATCCCCTCTCAGGCGACGTTTTTCTAAACTAAATAGGTTTAAATTTGTTAACTGTACTGTTTGGAAATTTGTCCACACTGAATGTTGGTAAGCATTCTACAACATTGCCGTAATAATTTTAGGCAGCATTTCTGATTTACAAATTCCCAGTGTAGTTCACATACTTCAGTGAAATCTTCTCATATTGAGACAGGGCAGACATTATACGACAACGTGTTTAGTGTACTGTGGCATATATTTTGGCAGATTATGTATACTTCACCCCAACAGATAGTGCAAGTATGTTTATGTCCTCCATGAAGTATTAAGCTTTATCGCTCTCTTTACTTTTTTTTTTTTTTAAGACCCCATCAAAGGTGATTTAAAAAAAAATGCATATGGCACTTTATTAAAATATATATATATGATTTTTAATTATAAAAGGACCAAGACAGCATTTCTTGAACTTGAAAGAGACATAGAAAATGCCTATACATAGCAGGAATAGCCTTACAGTGGAAGTAAAAATCTTCTAAGTGAAAGAAAAGTAGTAGTGTAGTAGTTACCTGGAACAGACTTCCGGGGGAAGCAATAAAGGTTAAAAGCAATAGTGAAAGGGATGTAAATATCTAGAATATTCTTCCAGCTTGAGATTACATTGTGAGGAGTCTGTGTGGGCCGATTAGTTTAATTTGCTGTCACAGTACATGAATATAAGTTTGTTTTGTGAGCTAGCTGTGGCTAACCGCTGAATCCTCATATAATCTACCTTGATCCTCATAAGCTGATGAATATTTACGATCTTTCATCCAACAAACGATTCAGTAATCAGAGGGAGGAGGCTGCTTTATAATATAATTATGTGGAGAAAAATAAGTAGCAAAAGAGGTGAGAACGGACAGCAGCTCAATTAGCCTGCCCTTTGGTGGGTCCCTGCTCAGATCTCAAGCTAGTTTTAGCTCAACTTGTGCCATTACAGAGAGAACATATCTGAAGCATATCAGACTGGTCCCACGCGTACAGGCAGTCCAGATCCGAAATGCCAGCAAGTTCCCTCTGCGCATAATTATGTATGCAGAAATAAAGTCTGTTTTCTAAGCTCTGCAAGCTGCTCTTTTAATTTAGTTATCTGCTGCAAACATTGTTCTTTCCTTTGCGTACTCTGTGAACCCCCGCGATGCCCTTTTCTCTTTAGCGGAGGGTAGTCGGCTGGTTACTGCCCAATTATATTTGGCACATACACAGCTCCGTGGTGTGTTCACATTAAGCAGCGTGAGCCTGTATGGGCTAGCGTAGAACACAGATGTGTGCAACAGAATTGCAGTATTCCTTTTGATTTATCACCAGTAATATTTATCTGGGATGAAACAAATTTGTATTTTGTACATGATTTTTTTAATTAGTGTTTTGTAAATAAATTTAACATGGCATTTTTCCATAAATGCACATCCTAATCTAATGTATTCCATACACCCATGGTTTATAGTTTAAAATTCATAGTATACAATGAATAAACCATTGAAAACCACCTATTACATATGTTAATTTGAAGTATTTATATAAACTCATATAAAGCAAGGAGGTATCGCATACTTTCGGGTTGTGCTATAGCAGCTGAAAGCCAACTGCAGGTTCTGTTCCTACATCAAACAACGCAACACAAAAAGCCAGACTTTGAGAAGAAAAAGCACCGCAATCGTCTCCAAAGAACTATGAAAAAAAATAAAAATGTATCATTATTACTTCAGTTAAAAATTAAACAGGAATGAAACAGGGGTCAGCACTGGACAGTTTCCAGTGTCCTCCTACTGCTTTTTGTGTCTTGTCTTTTCTTTGGCATTGTGTTTCTTTCATCTTTTTTCATTTGTTTGCTAGGGAATATTGGTTGTTATACATTGTTGTTGAGACTTTTATATGTATTGTAGTGTCTCAGTCATGGAACCATACGCAAGCTCATTGAATGCACCTAAAACAATCTATGTGTGTCTTTCTCAGTGCAATGCAGTGGAAACCTGTTCACAGACCTCAGGGGACAGATCAACAGCCCAGGATATCCGTCCAATTACCCTGAAAACTCATTATGTGAATACAAAGTGCACCTGAGTCCCGGGTACCAGGTTATCCTTACATTCCAAACAAAGGTTTTCGACATTGAAGCAGGAGAAGATGGGAGCTGCATATATGATACCCTCACTGTATGTATCAACCATGTCTGTGCACACATGTAGATATGTACATATATATATATGTGTTTGGGGTAATTATGAATTGCTGATGTAAAGCAAAGTATGATACATTTATTGTGCTTTTTATTTCTACACTGACCTCACACTAGGTAGTCCCACTCTCTGAAGATTAAATCCACTCGTTTCCAACACCTTGGTACAACTCTTGTGGCTTTCAATCAGACAACCAGTTCTGTTACTTCCTGGTTTGGTTAGCTCAGTGGAGCTAAACTCAAGAGTCAGCAATTGCCCAGAGCACCTGCCTTGCAAAGACTTCTGATTGAGCTGCATTGGGAAGTCTGTGATTGGACAGTCACATAATGTCTGGGCGGGGTTAGAAAGTGAGGGCTTGCAAAGGCTTGAGACAAGAGAACTACAGGTTTTGCAAGCTGTTTTTAGAAATGCCCCCAATGCACAAATGCATAAGTAAATGCATGCATGTTTTCATTGCAGGTATATGTACTAAATATTGATTTCTGTTGGGAGGGACAGTATTCCTTTAACTCTGTCCCCCTGCATTTCTGCAGAAGGTCTGTAAATAGCAGTTAGTCTCCTTCTTCCCATACTATAGAAATCATTGTGGGTTAAATTTTATGTTTAGCATGTGTAGGGGAATGTGGGAGAATTGTTGGCACACTGAGTACACATTTCTAACCTTTTATGGCACTTTTAGAAAGCTACAATCATAAAATATAATCAGATTATAAATATTCAGAAATTAGATATTTGACCATTTTTAGATGTATCTTTTTTTGTCACACCTACTGAATGCCACAAAATGGTATTTCTTCTCTGATGCTAATGTTTCAGACCATGCGTGAATGGCAGCAGTGTTCAGACGCCTTCTTACACTCTGGGGTGAAACCATCTAGTTTTTGGCAACACTTTAACCCAAAAGTTGGTGTTCAGTCACCCGTCCCCTCTGCCTCACTGCTTCCTCTGTGCACTGCAGTATGAGAAATGGTTAGTTGGGCGGCCAATAAAAGGTTGAGAGCGTTTTTGCTCTCAGCCCATCAATGGACATTCATTGAGAGAAGGTGAGAAGGCGCCCAGACACTCTTGTTCCCATAACAACCTAAACGAACACTGTAGGCACTAACCTAAATTGGTTTTAGTGCATTGAGTCCTCTGGTGATATCCCTCCATTCTACGTTAAACCATTTTAAATCAGTTCAAAACTAAATAAATTGACTTCCTTCATCCTCGTATTCTCCTTCATTCTTGCTATCTCTCCTATCTTTTGCTTATTCCTAAATTTTATTCATCGTCTTCCCCAAGACCCCTTTTTTTACACATATGTTTATACTTGTTTAATTGTTTCAGATACAAGTTGGGGGGCGCACCTTTGGCCCATACTGTGGTAAAAGCCCACCACCTCAAATTGAGACAGGCAGCAATGAAGTGACCATTATATTTCAGACTGATAGCGGCGGTGACCATAAAGGATGGCGGATCAACTACTCAGAGGATGGTGAGAGTGAACCCATCACAGCCGGCCCATGCATCGGTCCTGATGGAACCATGACCCCAGTCAGCACTTTGACAGTGGTGGCATTTTGCCGCCCCTATATACATTAACTAGTCCGCAGAAAGCATTTATCGGCTTTCTAAGTAGTCAAGATAGGCAGCCGCCTAAGGCTTTACACTGAATTGGACCTCACGACCACCTAATTCACATTAGGGCAGAGTGATCCGTCGGGTTCTTATTTTTCAACTGAGGGCCCGGCGCTGGGAGGGGGCCCAGTGGCTTGTCCTGTATGACACTGGGTGCAAGGCTCTCCACTCAGTCTGCCAAGGGAAGAGACGGCTCAGCAGCAATAGCAGAAATAGGTTTTGAAAAAAAAATCTTAAGCTCCTGAAACAACTTTCTTTTGTTGAACAGCAACACACAAGCAATATTATGTACTCTGTTCATTTTGACTTATCAATTAGGAATTTGCACCGGGAGCAGCCATTTTGGCTTGATTTGTTTCTTCCTCTTTGAAGGAAGCGGATTTATACATGCTCCTTCAGAAACTGAAGTAATCTCAACGTGGGCAAGCAAATAATTTTTCAACATTCAGGCAATTACACTTCCATACACTTTCTCAAATTTAGTTTATTTAAACAAAAAAATTATACTAGCACAGGCTACAGACATGTCATGTATTTTGTCAAAACATCATATTTTAACACGTTCAAAATTTGTCTTTTCCGTTTCCACTAGCAATACCATGTGACCATCTGGTATTTCAGCATTCTCTTCTTAATCCACGTAAGAACAAGTATGTTTTCAAAGACACTGTGACTGTGACCTGCCAAGAAGGATATGAGTTTGTAACTACGCAGGTAAAGGTGTATACTTTAAATACATTTAAAAAAGGAATGTTGCAGGAACAGTAGAACATTGTAAGATAAGGGACACCTATACTATACCTATTCTATTTCCAAAGGATGTAGTATATATGTTTATGGTAGCACCCTTAATCATATGATACTTTCAAATTGCCACGTGGCCATTGTATCACCATATGTTTTCCAACATTTAGTTTTTCTCTGACATTCCTGTCCCTCTCCAATTGTTCAACTCTTCACCCACCCAGTCTGCCCAAATAATGGACAATGACCTTATATTCACTAATCCCTTTCTCATTATACTGAATTCACGCACTCATTTATGTACTAATGTCTGTCAACATTGTCCTATCCTCGCCATTTGACGGATTTATTTTTCTCCAGCCTGTTTACTCTACCAAATTACCACTACAACCCAGATTTACCAGTCCGATAAAGATACTTCCTCTATCAATACATTTTGTACCATATTTTTTAATGAATTATTTATACGATGTATTGAAAAGTGAGGATGTAACATCCACCCAGCCAGTGCCAGACAGTGAATTTCAAATGCTTGGCTTTAAATAAAGGCATCAGATAGTAAACCAAATCTATTATAGTTGCATGAGAGGGAACAAACAGAATTGCACTAACATCTTGTACAATATCGGGTTGGTGAACTGTCTGCAGATCAGTGTGTTCTGCATGATTTATATTCCTGCTGATGTGTTCCGCTTTTAATTTTTTTCATTTGGAATTCTCCTTCCAAACTTGTAACTTTTGAGTAATTCGCCCCAAATTTGCAACAGGTTGCTGCCAGATTAGCTATACCCCACTGGTGCACTTAGACTGATCTAGTCTGCACTACATTTATAGAATGCTTTATACATTTTGTTTCTTCTGCTGTATATCCAATATGCAGCTGTGTGTCCAGTATTTAGTGAATTAATACATATATCGATTTCTATATCTCTCATTCACAGCTTAATATGAAATCTATGCAATCTACCTGCCAAGATGATGGAACCTGGTCAGTGACAGAGCCAACATGCACACGTAAGATGTAGGAATGTGTTCAAATGCTATATTTACATTAAAGGGACACTATAGTCAACCGAACAGCTTCAGCTTAATGAGGTTGTTCAGGTGAGAACTTTAGCTCCCTGCAGCCTTTCTTGTGTAAACACTGTATTTTCTGAAAATACAGTGTTTACATTGAAAGCTAGGAACATAATATGCCCCCATCCACTCAGATCTGCTGTCAGCAGAGCACAGGGTAGCACTGTGCACTGTGATTCAGTATCTCCTCCCTCTGCATGCAGACACTGAACTTTCCTCATAGAGATTCATTGATTCAATTCATCTCTATGAGGAGATGCTGACTGGCCAGGGCTGTGTTTGAATCATGCTGGCTCTGCCCCTGATCTGCCTCTTTGTCAGTCTCAGCCAACCATATGGGGAAGCACTGTAATTGGTCTAACAGCATGCAGATTTACAGCTTCAGGTTTGAATACAGTAAGATTTTTACTATATTTATGGAGACATGAGGGATCCAGGGGGGCTAGATGGTGATTTTAACACTATAGGGTCAGGAATACATGTTTGTGTTCCCGACCCTATAGTGATCCTTTAAAGTAAAGTGCAAAGATGTATGTACACACAACATTAGTGAAAACATAGTGCTCAAAAATGTTATCAAACCGAACATCATTAGCAATATAAGGTGACAGGAGGCATGGACACACTGTTTTGCAAATGGACAATACAGGGATACTGTCAAAGTCCACACTGCAGCAAACCTAAGGCACTATGGTGCGCAGACACTCAAAATTAGGGCTAACATAAAGCGCACGACCCCCACACACTACATTAGGGCCAATGTAAGACACCAGTGTGCACAAACACGCCAAACGACAGCTAACATGACACAAGATTAGCACACACATTACATTCGGTGATCCTACATTAGGGCCAAAATAGGACAACAGGATCCATTGACAATATTTTTTAGAGTCATCATTAGGTGCTAGAACATACAAAATGTCCTACCTCCTCCCCCAGATGCACGTAAGTACACTATCTTAGGTCCAGTGTGAAGTGTCAGGAAAGGCTTGCTACATTAGGGCCAACTTAAGGTTATGGAATCTACAGACATTCTACACTGCATCCAATGTAAAGCACTAGGGTAAAGAGACACATTACATTTACATCAATATAAAGGGCCAAGACCAAAAGACATGTCATAGTATGGTAAATGTAACGCCAAAACACACAACACAACCTACATTAGTGCCAGCAAATGCCTCTAAGGCACATGTAACATAGAACCAGCATAGGACATACATCTTTGACATGTTAGGGCAAATATGTAATAGTACTTAATAGGTACGAAGTAAACATGTTTTCTCCTTGTGGTCGCGTACTTATGGGATAATCTAGTACATCCTCTGATACTGAACCTAAAATCAGAAATGTTGGGGTCGTTTTCAGAATTTAATTATTGGATGCTATATTAAGATTCTTTGATTGGGTGGCATCGTGAAGTCTTTGATGGGGTAAACTTAACTATTCTTCTTTTATAGCTGTGGATTGCGGGCATCCAAACAGCATCGATAATGGTTCACCGATATTCTCCCAAACCACATACCTCTCAGAAGCCACATACATCTGTGACTCAGATTTTTACAAGCTGACCTTACCACCCTCTGGAGATGGTTAGTGTGGACTAGTTCCAGTGGACGAACAATGTTAAAACCCTGCCTTTGCAGAGTACAGCAGAAGCATAGCACCATGCACACGTATGGGTGTTGGGTATGAGAACGGATGATCACTGGATTAGCTGTGGGACATGATGACTTTTGCGGTTGTCAGTTGCACGTTAGTGAGGACTAGTGTATGATTTGTGTTGGCTGTTTGAATGCTCTGTAATTCTTGTGTGAAAATGGATTGGAGTGCAAACTAACTGATCTTTCGTCTTCTTTCCCCAGATACTTTTGTGTGCTCGGCAAAAGGTGACTGGGTGGGTAAAAGTGGGGGAGACGAAATCCCCAAATGTAAAGCAGGTACTGCTAAATATTTGTTGTTATTAATATGTGTGTGTATGCAACTTTATCCATCTGTCTGTGACTGTTTTCAAGGTTGTCTTCAGGACTGAGGTCTCTTTTGTAAATGGTATTTTTGTTTAACTTTAAATCCTAACTAACGCCAAAAGCAGTTAAAGGACTTCCCACATTCTATTTCACTCACAAGAAGGCTTCTACTTGTCTCCTTAGTCCAGGACTCATCATTGAGGTTCCATCTTGTGGGTATTTTGTGTCTGTTCATAAGATACAGAAGTGAGAATATGACAGTATGTCATATATCTCCCCTCTCCAGAAACAGCACAGCAGCTACATGCCAAGAAGATGGAGGTAGGGAACAGGAAACAGCAGAGCTTGCCTTCAGAATAATTCCATTTGATTGTGCTGAGGTAGTTAGACCAGAAAGTAGCAATTAGTGAAAGGCATGTGAAGAAAATAAAGAATAGGGTGATTCAGTATCTGGTGATGTAAAATGTGCCACACTTATCTTTGTCTGAATATTTCTTATGGGTTTTTTTTTCTTACAAACAAAATATGGAAATGGGAATGTTTTGTCTTTTACCTTGACTATATGCTGCTTACAGTTTTACATTTAAAATCAAAAAGGCACTGGGGATGGGGGAATGAGGAGAGACATATGATGAAAGGGGACACTGCTAGAGTATTGAGAGTTGTACATAAGGGTTGGAGGGAGAAGGGAAGAATCACAGAAGAGGGAATGCGGGTGGACATTGGCCAGTGAAGGTAGGTGTGCGGTGAGTAGTCCCAGTTAAAAAGAGTAATTTTTTCGGATGGCAGTCCTGTCTATAAATATATCTATGTGACTCTGACGTCTGTGTGTGTTTCTATAATAATATATATGTGGATAAATCATGTTACCTAACTAGAATTGAGAATATGAACTAAATTGTTCATCATTGTTCATCCAAAGCATAGCACTTTACTTTCCCAGTGATATACAAATAATGTGTGTTGTGGGACCAGAGTCTGTATTGCAACCTGACTGCATGGAACATAATGCAAGGGGCCAAACATAGCATGCCTGTATTCTCCCAGAGCATAACGTTATTCTCCCCCTTTCACACATCAACACCTAGGTGCAAAAAAACCCTACATCTCACCTTAGAGAGATGCCATAGGCGAAGAGTCAATGTGAATGGGAAGTATTATAGGGGGCACAGTTTCAAGCAGGTTTACAATTATGACCATGGGCAATCTCCAGAGTGATTTCCAAGCTGTAGTGGAAGTTCCCCAAAGTCTGTCAAGTTTGTATATTTGTTAGCTGTCGAAGAGCACTGGTCCATGTTCAGGGAATACTCTTGCACCCATTCAGAACACATCACTGATTTGTGTCCTTGCCCTAGAATAGAACAATGAATATGTTTGATATCCAGTGAGTTTTTAATTAAAGAATGCATCTGAGACAGGGTAGGGGGTTTCCCAAAACAGGGTCCAGGAAAAATCTTGTACACATACTACCTAATTCAGGATATTCATTAAAAAACCATGAACTACATTGTATATAAGCACACTGGTATTTGTTTCATTAGTAAATATGAGATTATAGAAGGGGTCCACTCTACCCCTTGTTTTTACCATTGGGAGAGATAGTGTATCAAAATAAGTCCAACTCCAATAAAAAAAAGGAATTGTTTTGCATGATTAACACTTATGTCTTACGGGACAGATCTGATAGAGGCCCAACGTTTTATCACATAACAAACAAGAAGATGTGGCACAAATTAAATCTTCCTTTTGTATCTGACATCGTTGGGCAGGAGCACAGCTAGGATTTCCACCAGTTCACTGTATAAGAAAGGATCAAAAGTCATTTTAGCTCCACCGTTTCTGACAGCAATTCTTAGGAAATACCATACTGTTTTCAATCATATGAACCTTCATAAAACCAAAGTTGTAATTATTAAAGTAGATGGCTGTAATATAATCCAAGTCAGTTATTATTATCATCATTTATATAATTCCAACATATTACGCAGTGCTTTACAATATTATAAAAGAAGTAATGTAACAATAAAAAAATGTTATAGGAACAATATGTAAATGAGGACCCTGCTCAAAAGAACTTGCAATCTAGATCAGTAGAATAGGGGAGACAACCCAGCATCATCATTTAAAGAACCCCCCGGAATGACTCGGGCCACTATCCAATGGATCTCCCATTAGATATAGCTGAAGGTGACCTCACTATGTAAATCCCAGTTTCCAATTATCATTGTATTGTAGGCTTGGTTTCATGTTTTTTTTTTTTTTATCTTCTTTGTATTATTGTAGTATTTTTCTTTGCCTTATGATGATTATAGTTAGTGTACAGTAGCTAAAAATTGACCATGAAGAAGCTGATTTCAGTACAGGCATGTCCACACAAAAGATTCCTGTTATTTTTTTCCTGCAGTATATCCAAGCTGGCTGCGATCTGATGTGAGTTTCATCATCTGAGATAACTCATAGCCATAGGTGAAAACTCCCCCAAAAAAGTTTTGTTTTTAAAAACAAAACAAAAAAAAAAAACAGCCTCACAAATTATATAACTCATATCCAAACATATCATCCAACATGTAGTCTGTGCGGGTTTAACTCAAATTCTTATACTTGTGTTGTGTCCTTTTTGCATAATCATATTATCTTTGCATGGACATTACTGTATGTGTTCTTATCTTCTTCCTGTATGTGTTCTTATTATCTTCCTAGTGTGTGGTGTCTGCAGCACAGGTAAATGTGAGGATGGCATAGGCCGTATATTTGGTGGAAATCCGGCTGAACCTGGGCAGTTTCCTTGGCAGATTGCATTTATTTCACCAAGTCGTGGCAGTGGTGCTCTCATTTCTGACCGCTGGATCCTGACCGCTGCTCATGTAGTACAGGATAAAGATAGTCCTGAAATGTACGGAGGAGTCATAAATCTACGTCCCAAGAAACAAGAGAACCTTTTGAAGGCCAAGAAAATAATTGTCCATCCAAATTGGGTCACACAAGACAATGACAAAAGGGTAAACTATAACCATGACATAGCCCTCGTCCTGCTTTGTAGTAAAGTTAAACTGGGCTCTCTCATCTCCCCAATATGTTTACCAGGAAGTGATCATGGAATGTCTCCCACCTTAAGTCAAAGAGCATATATTGCAGGCTGGGGAGCTACTGAAAAAAAAGAAAGAACACCACACCTGTTGTTTACCATAGTTGCTCTCAATAAGAATGAAAAATGTCAAGAACTAGACAAGGAAAAAAAATACACTTATACCTCCAACATGCTGTGTGCTGGAGATGCCACTGGACATGACAGTTGCAAAGGTGACAGTGGCGGGCCACTCATGTTCTTTGGTGAAGGAAGGATGTACACAGCCGGCATAACCTCATGGGGAGTCAACTGTGGAAAATTTGGCGTCTACACTAAGGTGGAGAATTACCTGGACTGGATTAAAGAGACTATGGAAAGAGTGGAAATGGAGGAGGATGGGAGTCCAGACCCAGAATGTGCGTGAGAGTGTGAGCGAGTGTTTGAGTGAGTGTGTGAGTAAATGAGCAAGTGAACGAGCAAAGATGGGTATTGTGCTCTATTATTATAAGCGGCTGGCAACCCAGGTGTGATATCTCTCCCTATCCTGGGTAGAAGAGATGATGGAAGTAGGGATGGGTATGGTGCTATTTCAAAAAAAGATATGGCCCCAATCTGACTTTGTTTCCTCACTGGAGTGAACAGAATTCCAGTAGTAAGGTTGGGGCATGGAAGTGATGTAGAATGTGTGATCATCTGGAGTTAGGAGCACCCAGAGCTTGCAGTCCTGTCAATCATTTTGTTTTAACCATTCTCTATTTTAAAATTATGTTTTCTGAATTATCGAGAACTGTGTTATTTGTGCAAGACAATGCTTTTGAAAAGATAAGCTGTCATCATCCTTCAAAAAGAGAAGGAGGGGAGGTGGAGGACACACAACTGTAAGTGAGTGTGACAGCGTGGTTGTACGTCAGATGTATGTTGAACATGTATGTGCTACAAATAGAAGAATATTTGCCTAGGCAGTAACCTACCTGGGGGAATTTTGAATCTTTAGAAGTGTGGATGAAAGGGTTTAGAAAAGTATGTATGTTAAGAGACTGTTCTAAGAAAGTTGCTTGTGGTTACCTCTTAACAGTTGTGTTTGGTTTAGCTGATCACTTCAGGTTAGAGTTATGTATCTGTTGAGGAGCTAGATTGAATTTCATAAATTTCTAACCAATGAAATGTATACCCACTGATTTTTTTTATGTAACCATGTATCTATATATTGCCTTGGGAAACACTCTCATTCAGAATTCTGTATTGATCGCGGGTTTTCATTTCTGTATTAATATCAATAAACAAATTTAAGCACCTTCTATTCTAGTCTGACTTTGAGGCTTACCAGAAGTGGAAGAAAGCTAACAAATCAAGAGGTTTATTTTCAATACATCCTACTGTAAAAATTACAACTAATGTACACATTACATATATCAATATATTCACCATTATTTTGTATTAAAATATTAATATTCTGTGTTTGTAAATGTATCAGTGTGATTGTGCATGGTAAACTGTTAACATTATATTTGTGAGATTAAATCCTGGTGATGTCTCAGACTGGCCATGGGGTGGAGGTCATGGGGGGCAGTTATCTCTTAATACAGTCTAGCATCTATAACCTCTCGTCCAACTCAACTTAGACATAGTACATAAGGAAGTACAGAGATAAGTCATGTGGATTGAGGATTAGACATAAATTAGATCTGACATTGCATCAAAGAGCAACTGATCAGGAAAGACTTCCCCCTATTGTGAAATTAGTCTGCAAACTGTGAAAAATCCAATGTGAAGTCCTTGGAGCCTTAAATAATCATTTGGATGATGTGTCCAGACCCCTAGTGTTTCATAGCATCACACCCTGGAGTTGAGGGTGTTTAGCACCTCACTACAGCAGGGGAGTGTTGAGATTTTGACACTCAATACAGGTAATGTCACGAGGGTAGTTGGTACACACCATTACACTTAACCTTTGTTATATACCCTCAGTGGGTCTATCTACTTTAATTTATAGAGGTTGCCCAGGAGTAGCAGTGTTTGGCGTGTATTCTCATGGTTTATTGTGGTAGGCAGGGCCCGCGCTACCTGTAAGACGACCTAGGCAGCCGCCTAGGGCCCACCTTAACAGGGGCGCCGGATCCCTGCGCCCGGAGTCACCGTGGATTTGAGTAACTGGCAGGAGGGAAGCGCAGAGCGATCCCTCCCGCCGGTCTCTCAATGTAGCGTTGCCGGGCGGCGCAGAACGCGGGACAGGAACCTCTGTTTCCTGTACCCGGCCGCCTGCAGACTGACAGGAAGTGCATCCAATGCATCCCTTACGTTCACACAAACACTCATTCTCTTACACACAGAAACAAAATGCATCTCTTACACAATCAATGCACCCCTTACAGACACACACTGCATTCAGTTAAATACACAGAAACACACCTTGCACCCCTTACACACACACACCCAGAAACATACAATGCATTCCTTACACGCAAACACACACTGTATCCCCTATAAACACACTACATCCCTTACAGAAATTGGTATCCCTATACACTACATTCTATAAGAACACACACACGTTGCATCTTCTACAATAACACATAAAACATCCCCTACACACATACACTCCACTCCCTGTGAGAGAACTCATGGGTGGGCCATGTAGGTGGATTGATGGGTGGGCATTGTAGGCATACTCACGGTCAGGCCCTGGGGGCCCAGACCTTGAGCTGTGTAAGGGGCCCCAAGAAATGGTGCTGCTTCCTGTTCTACACCAGACCTGTGGAGCCAGACTGAGCCCATCATCAGCTTCTTGTCCTCATCTGGTGGTAAGTAGGCAATCCAATATATTATTAGGGCACTAATCTCTAATTTACCTCACATTAAATGGATACTATATTCACCAGAACCATTACAGCTTAATGTAGTGGTTCTGGTGTCTATAGCCTGTGCCTGTAGGCTTTTTAATGTAAACACTCTGTCTTTTCAGATAAAAGACACTTTGTGAAGACTGGCGTTGGCCCATATGGCGGAGCATATGGGCGGGGCATTGTGATGTCACATGGTGGGCAGGACATATGGGGGGGAGGCAGCAAATTTTTTTTTTTGCTATGGGCGGCAAAAATCCTTGCACCGGCCCTGGTGGTAGGTAACCTTTTATTTTCTCTTTTCTGATCATTTAATAACGATTTTGTAACAAACCACCTCTTTTACAGGTAGGATTTTGTCACAGATCTTACAGTAACCACAGCCTTCTAGGGTAATCAAAGTCCAGGACACATTCAGTTCAGTTTTCCTTTTTATTTGATAAGAAAAACAGCTGCTAAATAATAATAAACAAAACAAAATCCCTTGCTCTTACTTGAGCTCTTACTAGACAGAAATCACTATCTGTAATTGGGTGGCTTTCCCACTTACCAATTTTCCAAAAAAAACAAAATAGAATTTGCAATAAACACAAGTGTTGTTCTCTCTCCTGGCTGGCTTTTTCTCCCTCACTCTGGAGCAGGCTGATCTCTTCTTTTAAAGGCCTGCCTGCTAATTGATCAGCTACAGGTGAGTGCCAATTAGTTAATTCTTAAGTTAAATCCAAATTGTGGTCTGTTACACAGCAACTAGTGCTGTTGGAGCATTGGCCCACCCTGCTCTCCAAATACTCTGCCCCAGGGACCCATACCGTGTTTTGCAGAGCATCAGCAGTGTATATTGCAAACTTTAACATCTTTCCCTGGGGCATTTAACTGAAAATTCTCTGGTTGCTGTTTAGCAAATCAGGCCTGATATATCTTCCATCAACCACTATTCCACTTTTTCGCTTACAATATACAATTTTTAACCTTTTTGGCATTGTATTACACTGTACCTCAGTTTAGGGCCTTGCTGTTTTTCTTTTTTCCTTTTGTGATAAACCTTATTATATGACCATTATGGAAACCTACAGATATTCTTAGTTTGGTGGTATTTGTGGGATACTACATTCCCAAATATGCCACTAGGTTTGCTGCTAATATCCTCAGGCTGGGTGTCTGGGTATTTTTAGTATGTGATACAATTATTTATAATGCAAGATAAGGAATGCCATATTTTTTTCTAAAAACACATTATCCCTCAATTAATTATGTACATAATAAACAATTAAATAGAAAAGTTAGTTGTTTAAATCGGAATACATTGTGGTATCTCTCAGCAGCGTTCTAGACCACAATATCATACCAGGCAGGCTCGCTGCCTAGGGGTTCGCTTTGACTCTGACCTCTCCTTCACGCCTCATGTTCAGTCTATCGCCAAATCCTGCAGCTTCTATCTCAAAAACATTGCGCATATTCGACCCTACTTAACGCCAGATGCAACTAAGGTGCTGGTCCATTCCACTGTCTTTTCTCTCCTTGACTACTGTAATCCGCTTCTCAGTGGTCTTACGTGCTCCTAACTTGCACCATTACAGTCCATAATGAATGCGGTGGCGAGGCTCATCTTCCTGTCCGCCCGCACCGCCCATGCCTCACCCTTCTGTCAGTCCCTACACTGGCTTCCTGTAAGATATAGGGCTCAATTTAAAATTCTGTTTCTTGCTTTCAAATCTCTACATAATGCTTCTCCCACCTATCTATCCTCCCTAATACACAAGTATGTCCTGTCTAGTCCCTAACGCTATGCTGAAGACTTACGTCTATCTTCTGTCCGTACTCCCACCTCTGATGCTCGCTTTCAAGACTTCTCGAGGGCTGCCCCATTCCTGTGGAACTCACTTCCCTCCTCCGTTAGATGCTCACCCAGTCTCCACTCCTTCAAAAAATCATTAAAAACCCACTTCTTCACAAAAGCATATCAATTAAACTGTTAATAGCTCCTGACTGATTCCTCTCTTGCAGCTGTCATTAGTCTAATACTATCCTTACCTTTTGTGTCACTTTACCCCACTCCCTCTAGCATGTAAGCTCATTGAGCAGGGCCCTCAACCCCTCTGTTCCTGTGTGTCCAACTTGTCTAGTTACAACTACATGTCTAAAAAAGATAATTATCACAACATAGTATAGACCGTAGGAAATTTGAAATTAAATATACAAAATACAGAAATGGCACACTCACAGACCCGGAGCTGTGAACTCAGCTCTAGTTTGATTCGCCTCTGGGTCCGTTTAGGCGACCCACCCCTCGGCAGAGAAATGTAACCAGTCCTGAAGGGGGATAGATACACAAGGGAAATAGTGCAATATTGATCAATATTGTTCTAAATGGGAGTGTAGCCCCTAGTCTGCATAATGCCTGAAAACAGAGTCATACTGACTCCACGCTTGTAAGTACCCATTTTTGGGATTCTACTGAAATAGATCTATTTATTTAAGCAATATTGCACATGAAATCCAAGAACTGACTGTTCACTTGCTGCCTAATATATCCCACCCCTTAAAAGGTTCAATTTTAATGGTATAATCTATGTTATTCACTTCACATGTAAGTGGTTTTAATCTTGTGGCTGATCGGTGGAACTAGATATCTTACATGAGACTAAACATATTCTTCATGTGTTTACTAGACTTCAGGACTCAGGATAATTATAATACAGCAGCCCATTTTATTAATCACATTAAAAAAATGTTTAAATCACACACACACTTATGGGGCTGACATAGAAACAAGCCCAAGTTCAATTCACTGGTCTGTTTTGATTACGGCTCAGATGCTTATTTAGGAGTCCCTATCCTGGCAAGATTTTTTTTTAATGGTGGGTGCCGGATGATTTCCAAACTGGGATCAGAAGTCCAGAAACCGATGTGGTAATTAAATTTCAGTGCTAAGTTGCCCTATGTATTTAATGAAGATGTCTTCACTAGAGTGAGAATTCAAAGTAAATTTTAAATATAAGGCTAAAGTAACAAACTGCATAGTTGACTTGGAGATTTTTTTTCCAATTCAGCTATTTTGGCTCTGTTAGACAGGCATGGCTCAGTTTTGTAGACACATTATATACAATTTATGGTGAAGAGATTGCAACCATTACCCTGGCCACTAGGGGCTGCTATTTCTCAGTGGATAAATCTGTATAGGTCCCTTTATAGATAGTTAGACAAGGTCACCCACTGGCATCCTGGGGGACAGTGAACTGGGACTCTATATCAAATCTTTAATGTGTGCCAAGCGTTTAAACCCCTCCTCTCAGTTTTGGGAAATCAGGTGAATTTCAAAACACAATTACGAGTTCTTGTGAAATATGGACTTTCACCTGAGCTTTTTTTTGCAAAATAACAAACTGACCTCTGAATCCTCTCCCATCTGATCGGGAAAAAGCTCCTTTCTGCTGTTTTATTATCTATTATGAGAAACTCTCAATACCTTCCTCTCTGATTCTCCACAAGGAACTTCCTTCAGTGGTAACACGAAGAGGTGGTATATGGACCTACCAGCTATATGTCCTACGGCACCAAAAAACATCGAACTTTACCAGCCCCCACAGGATACAATGCAAGAGAGCAGAGAGCTGT